AGAGCACTCAATGCACTGACAAGTACACACATTGGGTGGGCGTCGTGTGCAATTGCTTGTATAATACCCTAAAAAGGAGCAGTGTACAATGCTATGAAAATCAGAATAGTTAATGATACAGTATTAGTAATCACTATATATCTATAGACTCAAACGGGAAATAAAAGAACAGAAGGTTGATTTCCACATGCCAAATGAAGCCAACAAGCAATTCAAATAACAGTGGAAACAAAGACGAACCAGGACATCCAGTGGAACAGCAGAGTACTGAGAAATTGCAAACTCCCAATCTGCTAGCTGGCTTTCGGAAGGCAAGTTCCCACACAATGAAAAGCAATCAGGTTAGGAACGGATATCCAAGAAATTAATCAAACATCATAGTAATAAGTTGACCGTGGGCAACTTAATAGATAGGCCAGTGGAAGACCGATACAGATGGAAGACCGAACCGGCGCAGTGTTAAGGTAACCCGGATCATATTGCTAGAGTCCCTTGTCATTTGTACCGGTACTAATCTACAAAAGGTCCTATCAATCTCTCCCAATCATATATTTGATATCAGCGTAAAGTAGCTTTTAGCTTCTGCAAGGTTATTAGGAAAAAGAACTGATTAGACAACTAGATGATTATATAAAAATATGATTTTTTTTATAAATATAAATAAAGCAAGAATGGAAACCCATAAGAACATTGGAATAGCAACTTTAAGCTGAATTAATTCTTAGCCGAACTTTGCCAATTGCACTACCTTGAAATGACATCAAGAGATCACAACAAATCAACCCTAGAATATAATCCTCCAGATAAACGTCTAACGATTAACAACGAAGTATATTAAGAGCAATGCTTGGGAGTGGTTGCAGCTTGTACCAACGCAATCCAACGAAAAAAAAGAGAAATATATTCCAACAACTACTAGAATCGAAAAAAGAAGAGGAAGAAATTTCATACCCCCGAGGTTTACGGACGGCCGCGATGCCTCGAGAGAGAGGGCAGACGATCTCTAAAATGTCGGAGTTAAGCCAAAGGAACAACGGTCAGTGGCGAGGTGGGCGGAGAGAACGGCGCGCCGCCCGCGAGCTAGCTCCGAGGGATCATCGGACCCGGATTCCATCTTCCCAACGAGCGACTGGATGAAGAATCCTTGCGGTTACCGTCCCCTCGTATTGAACGTATTGAATGGAACTTAAACCGCCTCTGTTCGTAGGGGTTCATGGGAGACTTTTGACGGACAAGATGGGCTTACGCTGGGAGAACGGACGACGGATCTCACACGCCGTCGCGTCTCGTACGCAATCGATGACACAACTGGTCCAGACAGATGACGTATCATCTTATTTTTCATCCCAATCACTTAACTATTTTAATCAAATCAATTTTATGTTATTTATTTTTATTCCAAATATACGTTTGATTGAATTGTAAAGTAAAGTTAGTGCTGGAAAGGGATTTTGTATAAAACTTTTATAACTGTCAGAAAAGATCGATGATTTAAATACAGTGGATCGATAATACATTTTCAACTTTTTTTTTTAAGTAACGATAAATTTCATATATCAATAAATAAATAATAAATTAGAAATTTAATAAAAAAAATTTATTTTAAGAAAAAATAAATATAAGGAATACTATTGTTGAACCCAAAATCAAGTCAACAAAAACTTGTATACTCTCTCATGGTCAATTTCGAAAGCATCACCCTTACATCAAAATATTAAGATATATTATATATTTATTATTAAATTATATGATCCTTTATAATTGGATAAGATATATAATAGAATTAATTAGATTCAGATGATAGATATTGGTCAATAGAAAAAATATATATATTATAGTAAGATTCTTTAGGGATATTCTTGATTCAAATAACTTTTTAATAATTGACACAGGACGTAGTTGAGAAATTACGATTTCTCTCTTCAATGGTCTTATGAAAATAAAAGATATGAAAAGAGAAAAATGAGTATCTAGTTCTCCTTGCAGATCAATGTTATTGTGATATTCGAATTTGAAAGATAGATCAAACAGAGATTTTTTTCAAATGACATCGAGAGGTACGTATCGTGACTCTGATCTTAATGTTATTTGATTTTAATTTTAACATGAAAGTTTTTCACATAACTTATAAAGATTTTATGTTATACTAAACTTGTTATTATCCTTCCAATAAAGACGAGTTAATTAATATTAATGCATCCGTCAAAGAGACGAAAATAAGAATTCGGCGACACACACAATCGGTGTTTCACGTGCAGGCTTTTCTGGGATGTTGTCGCTGTGAGGTATTCTGGTCACCGAAAAGAACGAGGAAGAAACAAGGACATTTCCGGGCCGTTCACTGCCTCCAGTAACTTGGATAGCTCGGATCATCAAACACTCCGCACAACATGGTGGATGCATATCCACATGAAGAAACAGTGACCATGGACCCAAGTCGTACGCATCTCCTGGACAATCAGCGAGTCTCCAGCTGCAATCTTTCATGTACGTTTGCCTCCAGTTTCATAGACCACATCGATTTGCTCCACAAAATAATAGTTGGCGTTCATAATTTGCCAACGTTCACGTGGAGGAGAATTTATTTCGTGTCCTTTATGTGATGATCCGTTTTGACGTGTGGGTCATACGTTGCTAGTTCTCTAAAAGACATCTCGCTTGGCAAAGGGATCCTTCCATACACGAGTCACATTCATCTTCGACTTCGAATCTTCCCTTACTCCCCATCCGTACGGGAACGGATGAATGACTTGGAACCTGGAACCTGGAACCAGGAAGCCGAGAACGAGGTTGCACAGTTGCTGCTCTTCTTTATCTTGTGCTTGCACTCCACCCCTCGAACGAGGGATGAATGACTTGAAAAGATGAAGGAGATGGAGTGATCAGGAGAGGCAAGCAAAGGACACTGGGGCAGCAACGGGAGTTTCCCTGAGCGGTGATGATGGCTGTCATTGATCCCAGAACGTTGTGCCATAAGAACAGGCCTTAACTGAGAGTTGCAGCTTGGACGATATGGCTAGCATTCCAGTCGTGGCCTGACTGCATCATATCATAGCTGCGCCTGACGGACGGTATCATACTTTTCTTGGAGACTAATATATATGTACGTTAAATTCTCTTTATCTATCGAACTAATCATTTTAGATATCCAAACTTGTCCCATTATATAATATTTGGGTACCTGTTTATCTAATCCTATCCATCCGAACCTATTTGATTATTAATATTGATAAAGCATATTTTGGGTTCCAACCATGTCACAACTAATACCGCGTCATGCCACCGCCAAGTCAGCATGAAGAGCACTTCCACGCGTCGAGGCAGGAATTGTACAAAGGCATCCCTCGACACATCCTATCCCGGAAAGCTCGGGACGACGCCATATGGCGTCGTTCCGTGCATTCCGGGACGACGACCGTACGAAGGTACCACCTCGCCCCTTGGAGATCGGTCACCGTGTCAAGCCGATGTACGGTCGATCCTCGCATAGTAGTATAAAAAGCCCTTAACCAACATCTGGCTGGAGGAGGAAAAAAAAAAGAAAGAATCAAGCACTAACTTAATCATCAAGGGGCCAAAGTCGGAACCTCTCGACGAGGGCCTTTTGTGCAGGAGCGTGGTCACCCTCGGAAGCGCGACCGTGTCGACCAAGAGATGCCCTTCCGAAGATGACGCCAGTATCCTGACCGAGAGGCGCCTTCCCTTAGATAGACTCGGCATCCCGACCTACGGGTGTGATCAACCTCAGCACCTTGTTCAACCGATCGTAGACTCTCGACATCAACTCGTGACTCACCAGCGATGGTGCATCAGTTCACCAACGTGTATACATCAATAAAGAAATGCATGCGTTCCATTTTGATTCCCTGCTGACTGAATTTTTACCTTTTCTTTTTCTCATTCATGCTCGAGACGGTAATCAACAAAGTGTATACATCAATAATGTTTGGTAGGACAGATGCAGATAAGTAGACTAACCATAATTAATATAATCGAGATGTGGTAAAAAAGGATGTCTCCAATGTTCCTCCTATTATTAGGATTAGAAAATTTGAAGTACTTAGTTTTATTCTTCGGAGAATATAGGTAAATTATACGACAAGAAGATTTTGATGCCAAGTTGTGCGACATTTTCATCCTATTGCAAAGGCTAGCAGGACGTTTAAAGGGCAAGTTGTGCGACAAGCGGTATTTAAAGATATATGTGATAGATCTACTATAGTATGTCCCAATAATTCAATAAGAAGACGTAGAATGGATGTAAAGAGTGCTGGGTTTTCACATCAAACAAGCTATATATGTATTAGGTCCATGTAACATTTGCATGCATAATCCTAAAGTTTAGTTCGAGTTAATGCACAGCATGGCTCATTTCATGGTTAAGGCAATCTAACAAGTCCAGTAAATTGAAGTCAACGAATACCCCCAGGATCTAATGATTGCAATTGACGTAACCTCAAATTAATAGATGCCAACATTTAGAATTATGGCTTCAATGCTGCATGTCCTGGTGCAGACAATATATTTTGATCTTGTCACATCATGTCTATCAAACGTAGTACAGTGCATGCTCCACACATATCCCAATCTCTCTCACGAGCTTATGATGGTGTCGTTGGCACAATTACGATCCATTAAGAGAAATTTAATGGCATGAAGCTAAATCTTAATTTGTGTGTATCGATAATGTTTATTATTTCTTGGACAATATGCATGACGATTCCAAGAAATTTACACCAATTATTTCATCTCATAATTATCTCAAGAATGATGAATTTGGTATTTGTGATATGTTTGCAGGCAGCGGCAAGCCACCATATCTCCACACTGTTCCTTTTTTTTTTTGGTGTATTCTTGTATATTTTCATTTTTAACTCATAATATGCAGTAAATACTGTCTTAGTCTCAAGATATATATTTATTATGCCTTGGGGTGGATTTTTAGCTGAGAGCAGAACACGTAAAGGAACAGTCACCAGAAGAAGGAAGCAACTGAGACCTAAACCAAAACAACCATCAAACGACGTGAATAGCTACGGATCGATCACCCCAAAAAGAACAAGGAAAACATCAAAGAATAAACATGGACGACTGGTTTCTGTCCACTTCACTCTCGGATGCTTATTCTCAGTGTCATCGTGTACAAGATTTGCTAAGTAGTCAATCCGGCATCCTGATGGCGCACACGACAACGACGCCATAAAAACAGGTTTTGTGGAGCATGTCGATGTCTTTGGAGATCCTCGTCTGAAATCGCTCGAACAGTTCTTCGGCGATGTCTCCGACATGTGCCTCGACGATAGGCTTCAGTGTTGCTCGTACTAGATTAGTTTTGGCTCGGCCGTACGAATCTGGATCCCTGATCCATTCCTGTTGTTTCTCCTTGGAGTGCTCAATAATTTTCTGGAACTCCAGTTGCTGGATCTTGAATCCACTGCATCGATCGAATGCTGTCTTAACCTCTTCTACGCTCCTCATGTAGGCAGGGATGTTAAACATGTCTCTTGTATCTTCATCGATCAATCCCTGTTCAATGCAACCCGCACAAGATGAGACCGACCGCCGCTTCACCGACTCGAGAAGAGAACACTAGGATTTGAAGCATAATTTTCTGGAACTGGAATGGTTTTTTGAGCAGAGTAATTATGTGAAAAAGCCAACTTCCGATGATTATGGACTTGTGTTGAAAGATCAGATGGCGGAAGGACATAAGACTGAGTGGAGGAGGTAGGACCGGCGATTCAACAAAGCAATCCTCCCTCCCCCCCCAAAGCTGCAAAGTAAATGGAGCAAGAAAGAGAGATGGCAATTATTGAAATCAAGATGGAGACAAGAGAGGTAGTAGAGGGAAATGGACAAGGATATCGTGTCATGCTGGTTTTAAGGTGGGAGAGGAGGTTTCTGACGTCTATGTTGGGCGTCTTCTTATTACCTTTAGAAAAGAAGAGAGAAAGTGAATTGAAGTTGGCATGCAAACCTCATTCAGTAAGTCCTGCCATGCCTGATCCATGGAGTTGGTGAAAGGGTGCTTGGCTCGTGAGTCCGGGTCGCCTAATTGGTTCTCCGGTTCCTGAAACTGAGGCCTCCCAGCCATCACTATGAACAGCATCCCTCCCTCCATCATCTCTTCCCTTCGGCATCGCAAGAACATCTTGAGGTCCTCCTCGGACTGCTTCGCGTATGCTTCCACCACATCCTTCCTGCCTCCATCTATCCATGCTCGGCCTTTATTCCACGCCTTGGACTGCTTGTCCAACACAACAGCTGGTATCTACTGAATCATTCACAGTAAAGCAAGGATATATATATATCATTCAAACAGGGTTTTCGTACCAATTAGGAGAGAATCAAGTTAAATACACCGTCCCCAGTTCCTCTCCTTGTGATCCATCTCTCTTTCCATCTCGTACGTCCTCTCTGATCTTCTCTTTTCTTTTCTTTATCTATATTTTTCTTCTTCTTCTTCTTCTTCTTCTTCTTCTTCTTCTTCTTCTTCTTCTTTTCTTCCCATTTCTCTCTTGCAAAGCGCTCATAGTAAGGGTGAGAATCAAGATATGGATCGAATGCAAATCATGAATTAGCTAATGGCGTCCTAAAAGATGTCTAGCCCTGCCCATAATATCAGTAGTACAAGAAATCGCCATCATACATACATAGGGTAGTATGATAACATAAACGAGTTTCCACTCCACTGCACAACTTCAAAAGAAAGATGAGAGGTGCTAAACTCACCTTGGAAAGCCAGTGCAGGGCGTTCAGGCTAACAACCAAATGAAGCTTCTCTTTGGGAAACAGCCGGTCATAGAATGAACCAGGCACACCTGCTGGATAATACGGTTTCCGGGATGAACTGCAAGACGAGTCGACCTGCAAGGACCGGAAGAGGGAGTTGAAATCGTTCGATGGCAAATCGCAGAAGAACGCCTCGAACTCGGGCACATGATCACACTCTTTCTCGTAGCGCAGCCTCAGGTTCTGGACTACCAATTCCATGGTGGACAGCGTGTTGTAGCCCGTGGCACATCCTAAGTCTGCAATCCTAATACAGGCCTCCGACACAAAGAGCTTCATGGATCGGATGGATTCCATGAGCAGTGGCTTGGATGACGTGATGGCAGCAGCAGGAGCCTCGGAATTTTTCGCATAGCTCATGTCGTCTTCTCCTCCTTGCATACATAGTATCCTATGAAGCTCTTTTGTCCATGTGTGGCCCTCGCTGCTAGCACACCTTCCCTTGGTTTTCTCCCTGCTGGCGGCAACACGGACGAGGCTGGTGCAATCCATTTGAGATCTCCCAACAGACGATGGAGAAAGGAAGGCTAGTCTATGCAAAGTGTGGGAGGCAGAAGAAACAGATGGATAATCAAGAAAAGGAGAGTGTTGGTCATCCCAGAAGCTGCATAGTCCCCATTTCATGGTGAACCTGCTAATAAATAAGCAAATAATTGGCGGCGATCTTGTTTCACCTAGAAAATATTCATATGTCGGGTGACATGTATTGAGTTTGACCTATAATTTACAAGTATAAATTTTTGAAATGAATTTATGTTTAACTTGATATATATTGATCATGAACGATTTGACTCGAAACTCTTCAAGTCCAAGTTCATAATATATATACATATATATATGTCAAAAAAATAACTCCAACTTGTTACTATAAGATTTTTAACATCGTAGAAATAATATTGACAAGTTTTTAGATCATCTTTTTCCTATTTTCTTCGTCAACTTTCTCTTTGGTTTTTGTAAAAAAAAATTACCATAAATATTTTATGTCTCCCTAACGTGAACTCTTTGGTGTAAGAGAGTATGATAACCCTCACATATTTCAGTCAATAGATATGGAAGACCTGTAGAGTTTTTCGTTGTGATTTTGTGCAACTTCCAAACCTGAATCTTACTTTGACCACAGATCAATCAGATTAGATCCTTTTATACATTTTCTGCTAACATCAAAGAATAAATGCATCCAACAACTATATCTGCCAACAAATACCAGAATCCACTAGCTCGGCCTTATCTCGTGAATGCTCGTCAACTATGGCACCAAAAACAAAAAGTCAGCGCTAGATTAGATTAGGGGAGAGTCTTGTCAAGTTGATGCCTAGGATGGGCACGTTGACTGTTGCTTGCGTGCAGGCCAAGAGTGGGCTTCGAACCGAAGTCATATGGTAAAAGGAGAAATCAGTTCAACTCTATGACGTTGATGATCGCTTCTGGTGGGTCCCATTTGTCCAATTTAAAATAGTTATCGAAGAAAAATAAATAAACAACTGGGGGTGTACAATTAGCTAAATTCATCAGAACTCACCAACCGATAAAAATATCCTTAATATTCTAAATATCTATATTTAAATAATATACAACAAACAAATTGAAGTTTAAAAAATGTTTAAAGATTTTTTTTATGTTTAACTTCCAAAATAACAGAAAAAAGAGATAAAAATAAAGTTGGTGGAGGACATGAAAGTATCATAGTAATTTCTCGTCACACACCTCATACAATATCATCATACTTAATCTTATATCGATGAGTCATGGGACATTATCGATATTCACTATATAATCATCTGATAATTTTTTAATAAAAAATAATTATTATAGATTTTTTTTTCCCTAAATTACCCTAATTTATTTGCACCTACCAATGTGGCTCGAAGATTCGTCGTTCCAAAATAAAACAGAAAAACAGTGTTGCCGGAGAAATTGCACGCTTCTGTTGCCAGATTATATTTCGAAAAACAGAATAACACAAAACAAAAGCAACGCCGAATGCCAACCCCGGTCTGCTCAACACCGTCTCGGAAGATTACTCGAATAAGCAATTGACGGGATCATCTCCGCCGACCTGGTGCTTTGACCCCTACCTTAGCATCTTCGGCGGGGATACCATGGCGGCGAACTGGCTGCCGCCGGTCTCCCTCACAGCCTCCGGCCGCCCAGTCTTTCTCCCCGGCGAGGTCGAGCGCTGCCTCCTCCCCGCCGTCGACCTTGAGAGCGAGAACCCCGGCCTCGCTCCCTTCCGTTCCGGCCTTCTCGTCCTTACCTCCCACCGTCTCCTCTGGATCGACGAACAATCCGCGGCCGGCTTTGCCGCCCCCCTCGCCGCCGTCGTCCACGCCTATCCCCCCAAGAAGTCCATCCGCAGCATGTTCGCCAGCCCTAGGATCCGCGTCCAGGTGTCGGTGTCGCCCGATGGGAGGATCGTCGAGGACGGCGTGCGGTCGGAGGTGATCACGGTGGTGATGAGGGGGAAGAACGATCCCGACGCGTTCTATTGCCGGCTATTGGAGGTGCTGCGATCGAGGCAGTGGGAGGCTGCGGTGGTGGCAGAAAAGAGGAATACTGACTCGGGAATAGCAGAGCCTCCGATGGCGGCTGCGGCGAGGGTGAGGATGCCGGTGGTTGGGGTATCGGGAATTCTAAGGAAAGAGCAAGAATTGTGGGAGAGCACGGATAAGAGCTTGCAGGAGGCGTTCCAGGACCTTAACGCTCTCATGGTTTTTTCTCCAGCTCCTCGTTAAAGTCAAGATATAGCTATAGTTTGCTCCATTACATAATAATTGAATTCGGTCACAATGCTGTTTGACGTCCATGGATGATCCTCGAGTTTTATAGTCATTAACAGCTTTCTTCCTCTGCAACATTATATCAGTTAGCAGAGGAGCTTCGCTCATTTTTGTTACTGTATTCTGCTTTGCAGTTATAATAATCAGGCATGGTGGATTCGGTGCTTCCTTCTTGAACTCTTTCATTTCATGTACTAGGTTAATTGTTCTCATCAAGCATGTAGCTGATGTGCTAAATACTTAAACATCATAATTTATGACAATCCCAAATATCTTTTTTTCTTTTGAAACAACACAGTGTTCTTTGACAATCACAGTACATGTTTATTGACTTGACAAGTTAGATGTTAACATAGCCTCACGGTTGATAAGTCATGCAAGTAGGTTAAAGTCCAGATAAAATCTTGACCCGCATATAAAAAAGATATGAACCACTATTCCTAGTCTTTTAAACTCTTGGAAGATGACGAATGAAATTAAATTAGCCATTTCTTTTGGTCTTTTTTTCCTTATTTATATCAACGACCATTTTTTTAGCAAGAATTATAATACTTAGGATTTTTTATATCAACAACCACTTTTTGATTGCTATGAATATTTTCTCTTACTGTACATCTTATTTGTTTGTTGTAGTTGTTGCCGAAACGATGCTGAAATTTGCCAATAGCAGCTGTATGCTTTACTAAATTCATGAAACAAGGAATATTTGTTGCATGAACTCCCAAGTAGCTGAATGCAATATTATTTTTTTTTACAAGTAATTTAGATGCTTTTTGTTATACATCAACCATCTCCTTACATGACACATTATTAGGTTAGAAAATTTAGGAGCACTTCTTTTGTTAAAATGCTACCTTTACTCTATAAACAGTGTTTTTTGTTATCCATGAACCATCTCCTTACATAACACATTATTAGGTTAGAAAATCTAGGAGCACTTCTTTTATAAAAAAGATACATTTACTCTATAAACAATCATAATACATGTGCTAGTGATTGCATAAGACATGGAATTAGTGCTTATACGAGTGCTAGACATGGTACTCTTACTAGACAGTAGATTCTTTTTGTGGATATCCTCTAGTTTGCAATCACCGTTTCTGTTATCTTTTTTTAATCTATATTGTCCTTCTATGACATGTTCTCTTCTATGACATTTTTCTTAAATGTATTATTTTTTCAATGAGGTTGTTTTTAAATTTTTTAAAAAAATTTATATGTTACAATTTTGATAACATGGGCCATTACTGATTATATGATCGTGTCTTGCAACGCTTTTGTGGGATTATATATCTATCTCATTGGATGAGGCAACAGTCTTAAGGAGACATGAATGGATAATTTTATTTTACCTAAGACGTTCCCATTCAACATATTCCTACATGGGTGTGGGACTTTTATTGAATGCAAGAATCCACTATGAATTATCATTCAGATAGATAGATTTGATCAAAGGATCTCATCCTAAAGTGCTAAAATGGAAACTAAAATATGAAATGAATATAAAATTCAGGTCCATTGTTGGTCCAGTCATACATGGCTTAATCAAAGGCATAACTCCAGTGTATCGAATCTTGATTTTAAAATTAAAAATTATCTATAGGTATAGACTCAAAATTGATTATTTGAAGACTTGAAATTCATTTTTATTGATCTTGTGCATACCATTTGTCATGTATTTGTGTAAGACCCATATTTCCAAATACCAGATTGATCATGAATTTGCTTCATTAATGTATTCAACTGAAATGCAAGTGAGATTATTTTTATGCACCTGTAAACAACTATTACAGTAGATAATGTCTGTTGAGATTTTAAAGCTTATAAGAAGGATAACTACCACAAATTGAAGTTAACTAACCGCTTCTTGGAATTTCTTGAGACATCTTATTACGTTCCAATGCAATTAGTAACAAAACTCTTAGGGATAAATCATGCTAATGGAGGTAGAGCCAAATGGATAATGCCATATTCTTTTCAAGTCTGCATGCACAAAGTAACATAGAATATGCACTCACCTATAAGCATGTGGCACATATCCCCAAAGCATATCACTTACGAAATGTAGTTGCAAGCCAGCATTCCTAAACAAGTAAACAAGCTAGCATTCTTACAACATTTGCAGAATATTAGAAAGCAGATGGAAATTATCTATTTGAAAATGGATCATGTGTTTTCTTTGTTTAATTTCTATTGAGTCTATAACTTTTGTGCAATTACGGTGTTAATTTATTAAATTTCATCTGAGGAAATTTGTTTTGTTTGTTATGTCCTTGAATTTGGCTAAAAGCCTTGAGAATTTTACTGTGTAGAGTAAAGCTAAGGATATGGTACAACTAGCTGAAAAAATGAGGCTGAAGTTATTATCAAGTTCAAGTGCTTCGAGCAATGCTGATGATGAAGAGATGGGTTCTAAGCAAGAGATGCAAGATTGGCTCTTAAGCGTTGGTATTGTATCACCAGTTACAAAAGAATCGGCTGGCGCTTTATATCATCAACAACTTTCTCGAGAGGTAATCTATTTAAACAAGCATAATATAAAATTAATATATAATTTTATATTATTCAACGTTACAAAGCCATGTTTGTGACACCCCAAGTAGTAACTCCTTGCATGTGGAGGATTGTGTTGGTTTATAGAACTAGTCTATTATTGTTATCTTGCACATAAGCATTTGGTTTGTATGGTTTTAGGCTCATTAAATTATTGTCTCATTAGCCAATCATGACAAAAGGTATTGGAGTTAGTACTTATGAGACTGTAGAAGCTCAAATAGGAAATAGGAAAAGACTATTCATGGATAATAAAGTAGGAACATTATTGTGTGGGATTATTATCGGATTAGGCTTTGCATTGGGGATGATTCTTGGCTATGTTTTGTTGGCCTTGACAAGAATGTCAAGTCCTAAATGGGAGAAGTTGTGAAACATCGAGTTGATGTGAGAGGAAGATTGTGTTGGCTTATAGAGCTAGATAAACCTAGAATTATTAATTTGGGCTTAAACATCTTGAGCAATATGATCCTAGGCTCATCAAGCAATTAGTTCAGCTTGTACCATCGAGTCAGGTTGTAAACAGTAACCGTTTCTTGCTAGCTTGGTAATCGAAGCTATGCTGGGTTGATTTGGAAGTTATACTGACCCTAAAGTGGGGCTTCCAACACCTTTCTCTTGTGTGGGCTTAAGGGTTTGTGTAAGCTCCTATGTATGGATTGGAATATGTATGTAATTGTCACATTTCATTGACCAATTAAAATATACTTGAAGCCCACCTATTACTGTTAACTCCTATTCATATCTTATATGTTGGGTAAACATGTTTCTAAGGTAATCGAGAAGTATGTAAACTTATCTCTTTCTAAGCCAACAAATACCCCGCTTTCATTTTTCACATTGGCTGAGGAAAGTTGGACTACAAGAGAGCAATGGGAAGGGTGACATCACCATAAGGAATTAGGTAGGTTTCTTCACTATTTTCTTTATTTTGATAAATTTTGATTTCTAGAGATAGATTGATATTTCTAAAATCATGATATTTTGTTTAGGTTAGAAATTATATTTGTTCAATCATGAATATAATTTTAATCTAAAAAGAAAATTGCATTATGCATATGATGTTATCTTTCTGAATTTAGGCATTTGACGGTTCTTCCATTTATCGTTGGGAGAAACATGCCCCTATTTTGGTGGGTGAGGGATATCACTTCGTCTGTCGTTGAGGTGCGATATTAGTTCTCTCCATCCGTCATTTGTTGGGAGAATAAGAACCCATCTCGAGTCCATAAGCCATTCAATGTGCCACTAGGGGAGCATCCTACGGGTATCCGACCTTGTGCCTATTATTGACTAATAATGCTAGATGTGCATGATCATTGTGTGCATGTGTTAATACTATTATATGTCATATTTTTGCATAATATATATTAATTATTCAACATGATTATGTAGGTGAGATTTCAATCTGTTTATTGATGTATTAATGTAAAAAGATATGTACTATGAATTTATAGGCTTGCCATAGAACCTTATTTTTCAGACCAATCGTTTAATGGTGACAAACAAGAGACTTAAGGAAAAGGTCTTCCTTAACCTCTAGGTGCTTTGTCACAAGAAGTTCAATAATTTAGTTAAAGACAATTGGTTATTAAAACAATATTGTAAGAAAGACATATGAATGTTATTTTATTAGTAACTTGAACCAAGGTTCACAATTTCATGTATCAGTACTATACCAGTCAAGGCTCAAATTCAATTTTGGCTCGAACTAACACTGTATTGGTACAGAGCATGTATCGCTGTTGTATTGGTCTGTGCTGGTCCAGAGCACTGTATTGGTCTGTACTGGTGTACCAAGTGTTGGTATGCTGATATGTATCGAGTTTCATAAAAAGCCTTAAAAATCCTGAGAAATAGAAAAAAAGAAACCATTTAGTACAGAGCATGTATTGCCATTGTACTAGCCCTGTATCAGGTGCTACCGACCCTGTACTGGGTGGCACCAGCCCTTTATAAGGTGTACCGCTCAGTACAGGGCCTGTACTGCTTGGTACAGGACTTGTACCGCTTGGTAAAAATCCAGACTGGATGTACCAGCCAGTTTACATTGATCTATGTCCTGGTAACATGTCGGACCAATAAATACCGCATGTATGCTTTGGATACCTGTATCATTTGTATATTGAATTCGGGGCGTGAGTCGTGACAATTTGGCTTGTGCTCAACAGTCATTATACTTTAGCCCATGGGTCGTGCTAGTCCCATTACATGGGCTGAAATAGTTTGAGGATCTCAGCAGTGCTTTGACTTGCTGGGTTGAACCCCCTAATATTTGCTTCTTAGTTGAATTCTCAAAATTAATGTTGTGTGCTAACAATGTTTGTTAGTTCATGAATGAATTATTTTACACCTCAGAGTAAGGGGATGATGCTATCAAAATATCAGCTACGAACTTATTCTAATCCACCTCATTTGAAATTTGTTTGTTATACTATTTATAGTTCGGTTCATCGTTGAACTTTTGAATTTAATTATGCTGGTTGTTTGTTTGCAATTGGTTGGTACATTCTTGAAGACTGGAATGTATTCTGCAAGAACATTTTGCCTAAGCCAAAAATGGGTTACATGTCCTTGTTGATCACATTTATAAGAAGATACAACGGATGCATTTGTCAGCTAAATACTTGTAGCTACATACAAAATAATATGTGACATGGATGATTATTATTGATAATAGATTATGCATCATGGTTATTGAACTCTTAACCTATAGCTTGTTTACCTTACTGTGCCAAATTCAGCTGACCATTAAATTAGTGACATACATGGTCTGAGGGGCTAAGAAATCAGACAAGGAGATGAGACTAGTAATAATTACTCGATTATTTGATAAATATTGGAGGGAATAACCAAGGTTTACTATGTATCAGCAATTCAACTTGAGAAAGCCATAGATTGTAGAGTAGAGAATTTCAATTCCATATCACATGCAGTGCCTTTCTTTATCTTTTAGATTCTAAATCTTGAACACATAGCTTCATGTTCTTCATACTTCTGCCATCACATTTCAGAAATTCAACTTAAGGTACTTAGGCTCATGAGGGCACACACTCAAGTGTCTTAATGAATCCTGCGACCCTTAGTTGAGGTGAATTTCAAAATCTAAGCCTTGTTTAGGCTTGTATGTAGATTAGCTGTCTGGATGATAGTACTGTGGTCTTTTCCGCACTTGAGACAACAAAGGATAAGAATATTGCTAGATCGAGCAATTGCTTTTTCCTTTTGGTACCGAAAAATCCATTAGGTGAGGTCCTTTTTAGTTTTGAATCCCTCTATACTATTGCTGGAGGTTAATTACATTCGACCATAGTTGGTTTGAGTGGGTAGTTCAATGCATGCTACCTTGCATGAAGTTGCTGTAGGTGATGAAAAAAAAGTGCAAATACCAAAAGTCCAGAAATTGTCATGTATTACACTTGATCTTAGCCAAAAGGCTGAGAAAGGTAAAAAGAAATTGCTGATTGAAGTTTTGAACACTCAACTTTTGTATGTGGATGTAGTACACCATTATCATACCATCGTTTTTGGTGTAACCATCCAACTTTGATAAGTGGATATGGTATTCCACCATCAAATCAATAATTTAGATATGGAACCTTTAGTATGTGGCTCAAGTAAGACTTGTTTTATCTTTCTTTTATTCATAAAACATTGGTATGATAATGGTGTACCACATTCTACAAAGTATTGGTTCAAAGCCTAATCTAATAAACTTTGCATCTAAAACATTAGTATGTCGGTGGTGTATCGTATCCACTTTCCTTTGTTAGTACAAAGCTCACTGGTAAAGGCTTTGACTATTGGAATCAAGGTCTTAGGATCAAATATCTCCTTCACAATTTACCCTTTACAAAAAAAATATCATATAGATATTAAACATATCTCCTCATGTGTGCCACTTGGACAGGGAGCTCATTTATGTATAACATATCTTGCATACCAAATTTCTTTGTTCATTTTGCCTTTTTCCTTATATCAGTTGTTATTTGCTTCATTAATGAGAGCATAAAAGTTATATAGGTAATACTTCTTGCAAGATTTCTTTCAGAGTATGAACTCTTGGCCTTGGTGAAAGTACCAACAGAATTATTCTTATACAATTGGTATCATATTTTATTGGATCAAATCTCCAAATCTTTTCAATAAAAAGACTGTGATTTTGTAAATATGGTGAGTATTTGCAAATAGCTGCTATAGCACACCCCAACTTGTGGCATCTACCATGGCAGAGGGCGGGATTGTGCGGTCAGCATAGATCATCATGGGCCCAGTGTGGTGTGGTTTCATCCTTGCCAGAACACTCTGATTATGCTCTTATCCTATCAACACTGTTCGATGTTGGTGGCAAGGCACAGTATGGTCGGAAGAGTATGCAAGTACAAGTTGCCCTAGGGTATGACTTCAGAAATGTTGTTTAGTTTAGGAGTTAGTATATGCTGTTTGTGTTTCATAATTTATATAATTATAAGCTTTTGGATGTCCACTAGAGCAATACTCTAGGGCCCAAAGAAAAACTCGAGGTATAGTTCAGGGACGTCCTAAATCTTACTCTATTGGCAAACTTAATGCTAGTCTAGTGGACTGCACATAAATGGATGCCAATTTAAGTAGAAGGTGGAAGAGGATCTGGACTGTAAGAATTTATTCTTTGTTAATCCAATTGACTATTACTCCATGAGTTGGATGATTACAGTGTCATGTGAATCGTTAAAGTTTCCCTATACCATAATGCTAGCATGTCTGCTTTTGCTCATGACTGAGTGCTTTTGTGATAGGAAAAGGCCATGAGAGACATGAGAATGGATCCTTTTTTGTTTATCTATATTTCAGCTGGAATTTTAGGTTTAATGAGAGGCATTGGCACCCCTTGAAAATGGTATATGTTATGTTTCTAAATATGGAGGTATATATATGTCTATGCCCATGCGCTTGTTGTAGAGAGAGAGAGAGAAGTGACTGCTTGTAGTAGTTATTTGTGCTACCTGTTAAAATTATGTTTATAAGCTTATCCATAAAGTATACTATTTTGTAGGCTTATCACAGTTTTATGACAAAATTTTGATTCATTTTGCCTGCTATGTAATGCAATTTTAAAAGGCATAGTACTAATGTTGAATATTCTCTTTCTTGTTATTGTTGCCTTTTAGCTTGCAGATTTTGTTAAATTGCCACTTGAAAGAGCTGGAGGAATGATTGCATTGGTAGATGTATATTGTCTGTTTAATCGTGCTAGAGGAACCGGTATATGCATTCCCAAATCTTATTTTATTTGTTATTTTTATGCAGCGTATATTCTGAAGTTTAGTTCTTTTCCAGCATTGATTTCACCGGATGATCTTCTTCAAGCTTGCACCCTATGGGAGAAATTTGATGTGTATGCACAATAGAACCTTCATTTCTTTTAGGTTCCTTTACTGCTGGAACTAGAAATTCACAACGTAGCTATTAGAAACCATCTAAACAATCAGATGGATGCTTTATTTTCTTTTTTTGCCTATGCATTATAAGCTTTTATTTTTTATTAGCAGCCCTGTGATGCTTAGAAAGTTCGACAGTGGTGTCATGGTTATTCAAAGTAAGGCTCGAAGGGATGAGGAGGTATTACATATTTAATTCTTTTCATTTTCATGTTCTTCTATTGGAAATTCTTCAGTTTATAGTTTTTACTCCTTTCACCAAAGATGCAACTTTTTTATGTTGATGAATGTGCTTTGTTTTTTTAATCTGATAACCATTTGAAGGGATAACTTGGAGGTAAAGCATCAAAGAGATTTTTGGGTAAAAGATAATATCATTCAAGGAATATCTATAATTGAAAAACTTATTGGAGGAGATTTAAATGATCATATAGGAGAAACGTATGATGAATTTAAAGGGGTGCATGGCTTTAGTTATGAGGAGAGGAACGAAGAGGACGGTATGATTTTAGATCTTGTCACTTCATACTTCATAATTATGAAGACTCACTACAAGGACTATAGTCACAACTCACAATTGTTAATATTGTTAGATGAACATTTGATTAGAGTGGACACAATTGTAGTCAGATGAATTTTTTTTCTCACTAGAAAGTTAGATAAAGTTAAATGTAAGAATTATAAATATATACACGAATTAAAATAATGGTATTTAGATGTTTGTTGTAGAAAAAGAAGAAAAAAATATAGTAGAAAAATTTACTAGGAGTAGATGCTAAAATTTTAAAGATAATAATGTAAATATTTTTAAGAATATGATAAGAGAAGAGGCTTGAAACTTAGACAAGGACAATATTAATATTATTTGGAGTCTGGTGATGGCCAATAAGTTAAGAGTTTGACAAAGAGATTCTTAAAGAAATTAAAGGTAATTGTGTAACTTTAAGAGAGAGCTGGTTGGTGGTGGCATGAGCAAGTCTATAAAGTATTTACCACTAAAAATCATGCTTTAAAAATTTGGTAAAAAAAGGGAGAAATTTAAAAGATATATAAAATCTAAAAGAAAGATATAATATATAAGACTTATGATAATTTTAATAATAAGTTATGCACTACAAATGGAAAGAGTTGTATATCAAAATTTTAAATCTAAGAAAGAAAGTATAGGAATTCCAATAATATTAGATACATTAAAGATGAAGATCAAAGAATACTTACTAATAATAACGAAATTAAGAAAAAAATAAAAAAAATAATTTTATAATTATTTAATGAATATCCTACAAATGACTTAATATAGTAATTATTGGTTTGTTTATAAAATTAGAACTGGTGAGGTAAAAGAAACCCTTGAAAAATGAAAAATAGGTGTGAGTGCGGAACTTGATAGTAACCCTATTGAGGTTTGAAAAAGTTTAGGAGACCAAGCAATAGTTTGTTTAATTAGCTTATTTAATAAAATTTTAAGATTTCTTGTAAGATGAATGAATGAAGGAGTTTAGTGTGAATTGACAAAAATAAGGGTGATATACAAAATTGTTCCATAGGTTTAATAGGTGAATTAAGACCATGAGCCATAACTATGGGAAAAAGAATAATCACAAGTAGGATAAGGTTTGAAACAAAAATATCTTTGAAAATCAATTTTGTTTTTTGTTAAGAAGATCAATGAAACTATTAATTTATTAAGATAATTAATGAAAAGTATAAAGAGAAAAAGAAACTTTTGCATATGACTTTTATTGATTTAGATAAGACCGAAGATCCTAGAGATTATTATGGTGGGATTAAAAAAGAAAGATGTGTCCACTTATTGCATTAATGTTAGAAATGATATGTATGATATTGTAGACACTAGTGTTAGAACTATAGGGAGTTTGTTGAATAAATTTGTGTTTAGTATAACTGTATAAGACTATATCAATGATTCACATTAAGTTCTTACTTTTTCACATTGATAATGAATGAACTTACTAGTCATTTAGATGATAGACTTCCCTGGCATATATATTTGCTAATGATATTGTCTTAGTTGATGAGAGTTTAAAGAAAATAAATAAACTTGAGTTGTCTTGAATCTTGATAATCCTTAGAAACTAAAGGTTGGATCAGTCAGGACTAAGGCTAAATATATGAGATATAATTTTAGTAATCGTAGGAATAGATAGGAGTGTATAGTTAAGTTGGATAGACAAAGAATATCAAGTAAAAGTTCCAAGCATCTTCGATTAATCATTCAACAAGACAGAGAGATTGATAAAGATATATTATTCATATTAAAAAAGCATGTTGATTAAAATGACGAAGGATATCAAGAGTCTTGTATGATCATTGTATAGTTTTGAGATTAAAAAAACATATATAAGACAGTTAGACTAATAATGCTTTATGACCTTAAGAGTGTTGGATAGCTGAGATGAGAATATTGAGGTTTATGTATGGAGGTACTAGGAAAGATAGGGAAAAAATTATTTTTATTCGTGAACAATTTAGGTGTCACTTCAAGGATGAAACGAAGAAAAATCGGTATGAACATGTGCTCAAGAGACGAATGAGAAGGTTGAGGAAGATCTAAGAAATCCTGATAGAAACTATAAAAAATGATTAATTACTCTTAACTTAATTAAAGATATGTTTTTAACGGATCTAAAAGATCCATGTAGTCAACTTCAAATAGTTGGGATTTTATGACCTTGCTTTGTTGTTATTGAAGTAGTTGTATATTTTGTATTCATAGATCTGCTTACATAATGAATATAAGCATACACAATGTATAAATAGATAACACATGTATCCTTGTTTTATCATCATTTTATTTTATTTTATTCATGTTTTCAAATGTTTATCTGATTAGGTCTTTGCGAGAATTGCCTCCCTTGCACAAAAACCAGATGCACTTAGAACAGGAATAAGCCCCAGCGATGCTGCACTGACATTAGGAATTGCCCCTGCTCTTGCCAAGGAGCACCTACTGACTGCTGAAAGCAAAGGTTTGATAGCTAATGTTAAGTTTTGATAAGATTTTTGTCATTGAATACCAAAATTTTAACTTATTTAAGTTTTTCTTTTCAGGTCTTCTGTGCAGAGATGTCAGCCCTGATGGTTTCCGCTTTTTTATTAATTTGTTCACAGAAATTGATCCAAGTGATATTTATATGTAAGTATATCCTTACTGAGTTTAGCTAGTACCATATGCACTTAAGGCATCCATAACCTTAATCCTATACAAATAAGAAAACTTTCTTTTGTTAAACTTTTCTCGAACACAATCGAACAAACTTTCAACTACACCAAGAGGCTAGCTAGCGTGCCATCTTTCGATCTTCCCGCTGAAAGAATTTTCAAAGTTAGCAAAATTCTGATTTTTATCTAGTATCAGAGGAAGAGAAACTTATTCCATCCAGTATTGTAATCACTAAAAACTTGACTAATCTAATGCATAGATAGAGTGGATGTTATAGATACCTACATATTACTTTAGATAAGATACAAAACCTGTATAATATGCAATGATCATTCTATTCATAATAGAACAAAGGACCTAGGACAACCTACCTCTTGTGTGATTTCAAAATAAGGTGGATCTTGACATGGTGCTTACACCTGAATTATTTCATATCTGAACATCTTGGGATGGTATGAATTGTAATTTCCTTTATTCTCTTCTCCCTTCACTAGCATTGTTCCACATGCCCTCACTGTGAGACACATCATGTTGGTATGTGAATCTGAGATAGAACATCATCGAGTGCTTCAACATTTTACCATTTTCAGGGATGGGATATAATTATCTTTTTGCTACGTTCCTGAACTACCAAACTAGCATATCGGAACTATAAACAGCCATGATGAACTAATTAAAAAGATTGATAGTTACGCGTTAACTACTCTGTGAGTTTCAATTCCTGGTACAGTATTTTTGCCTAGTAGCTCACAAGGAAAATCAATGCACTTCATTGCTTCATGAAAACAAGAGTTGCATAGATACTTCTTAGTGTCTCCTGGTTTGTGTGCTTTTGAACTATATCAAATGATTCTTATGTGGTTCTTTCTTTCTTTCTTTCTTTTTTCTTTTGGGGTGCCTTGTGCCGAGGGGTTGGGGGGGGGGTCTGGTGAGTGGGTGGATGTGTTATGCACCTGGAGTTCTTTTGTTTTGTTCTTTTCCTTTGTGTCTCAGTTGATCTGGTTAACTTCAAATGATAGTGGATGTTGCATGTAACATGACAAGTTAATTTTCAGGATTAAGAACAATGGACCTGCTCATGTTTGGTCCTCTGCTCTATCGTTGTCTGGGTAGACTGGAGGCTGCTTATTTGTCAGATGAGGCATTGATCCGGCAAGGACAGGACACTGATGGGCCGATGGGTTCTAGCTTGGAGGATTCTATGTTGGAGTAGGATCAAGTGATATACACAATTAAGTTGTCCACGGGCGAGGTGGAATCAATATCCCAGGCAAAATAAATTGGTAAAACAGCTGCTCATTATTTGCTCCTTCACGTAGAATGGTCCCTGCTAGGTATGTGCAATTGAGGGTTTAATCGATCCATTTACTGTGTGCATGTATTGTTATCAAGTTTTAGTTGCATTTAGAGAGAAGACAGCTTTCTTGAGGAATGAGCATCGACATCTAAATTGACTCCATATAAATTTAATCAATCTGAATGGTTGCTTTGCTGCTTTTGTTGTACGGAACTAACTAATAGGATGTGTTCTTAATTGTGAGTTTCTACCCATTTCTTGATCATTCTCATTTTTACATCCTTGTTGTATATTAATCCGTAGGTTTTGATGGAATTTGTAGACTTTCTGATGTTTCTTTTTGTTTCATATATTTTTTTGGTTTGAGGAAATATTAATGTGCTAGTCATGGGTTTATATGGAATTTGGAACGCCTCATTATGGTTAAATACTTACCCCCCTTCCTACATCCCGGTCGTCCATGAGAACTCAGTGGGCGTGAGATCTTGTAATACATTCGGATTAATTAGTATATTGTTACATAAAGTAGTGATAAGTCTGAGATTCAAATCGAACGTCATGTATGTTATTTAATATAATAAAAATATTTTTTTTATTTTTTATAAAAATAATTTAGCAGCACCCGTTCAATTTGAAGTTTTTTTATTTTTTTTATTTTTAACGTTTTGAGCTATTGTTAAAAGGAGTGATCTAATGATGTCTACTGTCCCTGAACCCAAGGTTTTCACATTTCGAGGTTGAAGATGAATCGATCTACAGCACTTGGGTTTGCGACGGAAACCTAAAGGTAAGTTGACTAAACCCAACTGTAATCACTACGCCTACTAAAGGCTAATCTTCCCCTTCAAACTCAGACAATGATAATGTTCACCAAGTTTGTGAGTTTAATATATATTTGTTTTCCTCTTCATTTGTTAAAATAAAAAAAAAGTTTGTGGGTTTGGTTTAAGCAGCAGATTCACTACTTGTCCTCTACTTCTGATCCTGCGTTCCAAGTGGATTCGACTAGCTGATTCAATAGCTGCGACGGTTTTTGTGATATCTTTAATTAATTTTATATCAGAAATGAATAATGATTAAGATTGACTTATAAGGATACGAAGAGTATACTATAATAATTTCATATTAAACATTTTGATAAGTGGTTTAAGCAGGTTCACTACTTGTCCTCTATTTTTGATCCTAAGTTCCACCAATGACATTTGATATCAGAACCGACTTAGTATGATTACGTCTTACATATACACTAATTGAGTCGATTTAGTATGATTACGTCTTAAATACACACTAATTGAGTGGGAGAGATTGTAATAATAATAATTAATATATTAAATAATAATTAATTTATAAGAATCTGATGATGATGAGTGAATTGAGGATGTTTCAGTTTCAAATTTCACTCATCCTCTGACACTAATAAAAAAATGTGCGGTGCTTCCCCTTTCGAAAGCCTCTAAATAGTATTTTTGAACCTTGTTTTATCCCATCTAGCTCTGACACCCCTACGCCTCGCTAAGTCGCGCTACGATCGTTGATTTTGACGAGGTTGGTCATGCTGTCATTTCTATACAAATGTTTACTTTCCTCTGTTGGTGAAGGGTCTTTGGATAATGGAAAATAACCCATTTTCCAAACTAAAGGTCACCCAACTTGCTGACTGCTATTCTGTATTTTTTTTTCCTTTGGACACCTATCTGATGAAGAGTTATCGTATGTTCATAAGTATTTTATGATTCCCGAAGCAAAATGTCCAAAGAGGACTAAGGAATCCTTGTGAATAAAAAAAATCTAAAAATTAAAACTTTAGTCTTATATAAATATCTCATATCCCTCCTCTTATTAGGGGAGAAAAATGTTAGAAATATTTTGAGTGTTAAGATTTTTAAAAAGGATGAGATAAAAGATACAAACGCTTACAATTTATTGGCATATGTTGATAGATAGTTGTTTTTAAAATTAAACCACCAAAGAAAGTTTAATCAACTTGGAAAGTACTCATATTTATGATTGGTGATCTAATTTAACCGTGTAATAATTTTGCTTAAAATCGTGTGATATGATTGACATGTGTGGTGGGTAGAATAGTTTTATTATTGTTATTATCGATATGTTATCTTTGACGGGCAATTTTAACTTATCGATGTGAATAAAACTTTATTATTATATTTTAAAAATATGGTGAATTTAAGTCATTTTGAGAACAAAAATTCTCATAAAGTCCTTAATACACGTATTTTTCTCACAACATGCTTCGACTTATCCTCAACATAAAACATATTGAGTACTCACAGATCCTCACTTTGACTTATCGATTGTTGTTTTACTTTTTAGAAATACCTCTTGGTGACTAATGAAACAAATGGATCGATAAGGAGTATAGTGATGGATGACAGCACCACTGGAGACCGCAGGTGATTATTGTGGATGAGGAGAAAAAGCGATAGAGAGAGATGAGACATAAGGTAAGGAAAAAAAAGACACAGATGTTGACGCTTTGTATCTACATCAACGTTACTCAAAAACTGTGTTATGCAAAGTGACGAAAGGATCGCTCGTTATCTACATCTGCATCGATGTAGACACAATTGTCAAGCGACCATTTCATCATTCTATATCTGTATCGGCACTAATGTAAATGTCAAGAGATTTTTTTGCTACTCAATAACTGCATCGACATATTGCTTAACAACTACATCGACATCTATGCAGATGTAAAACAATGAAAGGATCACTCGAAAACTATATCGGTATCAATATAAATACAAAACAACCCTCATCTCTCATCATCGTTCTTCCTCCTCATCTATAACAGTCACCCATGACCCCTAACGACATCGTCGTCAATCATCATTAACTAAAATATTAAATTTATATTTTAATTTATTATTTTTATATTATGTATTGATAAAATCGATGATGTTATAGTAAATAGAACTAGATGTTTTTATCCATTATTTTCACTTTCATATCTAACGTAAATTTTTTAAGTCAAATGATTATAGATTTGATTTGCATCCAAAATGATGATTCATATCGTAACAAAATCAAAATCAAAATCGCAAGCTATAATTTCTAATTAGTGAGTTATATGACTTTTTTTTTTTTTTAATGTGTCCACGACCAACAAAAAGAAATCTAGAAAAATAATGCTTGGATAAATTAGCCATCAAACTATCGATCGGCAGTCACAATTCGAGGAGAAAACTTTTCAACCGAGTTAGCATATGCTTTCACCGAAAGCTCAACAAAGTGTCAGACAAAAACTTGTGACTGCTTCTCGAGTTCTTGAGACGAAACATTCATTGGAGCAGTTGTGACAATCTCACCCCCACCAAATTACTCACGGTTGCAGCGGAGTCCTCAAAGATGCAATCCTTTGCGGCATCGCCGTCGCCCTCCTCCACCCTGCTGCTGGATTCGGAGGCGTCGAAGAGGATATCGACATTATCATCGAAGCCAACGCTACCAAAAATGCTATGCAGATCACCTGTTCGATGAAGACCGACGCAGTGGTCGGCATAGACGTCGTCAAAGCATTGATCCATGAAAGGGCTCCAGGGGATGGCATCGACACCGTCGGCGGCTGCTGCTGCAGTGTGATCGACGTAGCTCGGCAGTTCCACGGCCTGACGACGCTCTTCTTCGCAGGTGGCGCTCGGCTGCTGCTCTTGCGCCGGTGGCCGTGCCTTGGGCATTTGCAGCGGCTGCGGAATTGGATGTGGCTGCAGGAGGGGCTGTGGGAACTTGACGTAGCAGCTGATGTCGAAGTTGGTGACTGCATTGGGGCCTCTGTACTCTATAGCGGCAAGATCGTACGCCTGGGCTGCCTCCTCCTCAGTACCTGCGGACATCAGCCAACAAAACACCCTCAGCGAGCGGTCAAAATCTTAGGCATCCCAACCACAATATTATCATATAATCGGATTGGGACATCACCCCCCCATCAAATCTCACATCACTGGATGGATCGATAGATCCGCGAGTATAATAATTTTCTGAAATTTATAGTTTTTGAATTATGTAGATAAATAGTTTTATCAAAAAAAAATGAGACTGGTAATATGACAATAGATTAGAGATACTGAGAAGATGAGAATATAATGAATATAACAGCGATTTTCTAAGACTTGGATGCCCTTCAAAAAAAAAATTCATATATTTTGATGATAAACAAAGAGTTGAGAATATTTTTTTTTATTTAAAAATCTAATATATATATATATATTAGATTTTTAAATAAAAAATAACGTTGTCACGTGACAACCTCTGAGTGGCACCACGGACCAAAGGGGAGCGAAAGACGGAGATTCCTGGTGAGCATACCGCACTTGTGTGTCACGTGAGACATCGTGAGCAGCACACCCATTCTACAGGGGTGACGTGGCATGCCGTGGACCTGGTACGCGGGTCTCGGTCTCCTGGTGGCCACGTCACCCCTGAAATCCATGTTAAGAAGTAAATTGCTAGAGTTCCGACCGAATCGATCCCCCGTGAACGCCGTCGAGGTCGCTGTGGCTACGACCTAATCTGTGGGTCCCGAGAAATGGTGACGCGACTATCGGGGTGGGAGGGGTGACTCAGTTAAAGCGGCGTCAGAGATGGTTGCATGGATGCCATGTGGCACGGCGAATCACGACAATGAAGACGGCCTATCCACGGCTTCACCTGAACCCTAATGGTGGTGCAGTGAGTTCGCATATGTCTAACATCACCCTTTCTATACCGCATATTGGGATCGTCGAGCATGCCATCAAGTGAGCGATGAATCCAAGAGTAAAATGGATTTTCTACATCTAATAACACTAATAAAAATGGAGACTTTAAAGTGATGAAACTGATCATGAATGATGATTTTTAAAAGTAAAAAAGAATGAGGAAGAACAAGAAGAGAACGTACCGAAAGTTCCCAAATAGAGGTACTTGTTGCCAAAAACTCTTCCGATCCTTGCTTCCCACCGGCCATTATGATGATGCCTGCCCAATTCCAGCCATTGTCAACACCAGAGTGGGCCTAAACTGATGTTAGCCACTTAATTTATTTGTGTCAGAAAGAGCATAATGAATGGCCTTAGATGACAATAAATATAATGAAAGGGGGCGTTCGGTGGGCGAGGCTTCTTAAGAAAATTATATGTATATATATATAAAGCCTGATTTATTTGGAAGATAATTAGCAGCAGCATTAAAAGGAATTGATAGGACATGATGGTGGGTTTAGTAAACTAAGAATTCCATGGAAGTGATGGTGACACCAACCCAGACCTGGCCACGCCACGGTACTTGGAGACACCTCTGGAGAACCCATTGCTCCGCCGCCGGAGGGAAGCTAAGTACTCTTCCTTTGACATGTTCTGCATCTCCTCATACTCTTTTGTGTACGTGACAAACTGCTTTTACATGCAAGCGTGTCAGCGACCGGTATCTTTCTACATCAATGAAACACTAGCTTGACATTAAGCAGCTTCTCCCGTCAAAACCTCAGACACGACGACTAGCGATTTGATCAAAGTAAGTTTATGCACTTAACTGGAAAATTTAGAGCTGAATCCGGGCCCCAGTATTTGAGAGCAGCGAGGTCGTAGGCGCGTGCTGCAGCTTCCTCATCATCATAAGCACCTGCACCATGCGTCAGATCGCAAGTTGAATCTGGGTAGAACAGCGAGCATCCATTCTTTTTCTTCGGAGGAGGTGCTTTGCGAGTGGTGTGACTTACCCAAATAAACTATCCGGGGATGTGAGACATGGATCCATGAACCACATGCAGGCCACGAGACAAGATCCACGAGAAAAGAAAGGGGGGAGAAAGCACAGATGTCAGCAGTAAAGAAAGGGCATTAGAAAAGGTGAATAAAGAACGGATCAACAGCGATCGGCTGGCTTTCACTGTTTGTAATCCCAACACGAGTGTTGGTTGTCTCTAACCTTGCCTTCCTTTCTTGTTCTGAATGGGGTTCCAGCAGTGCTTGTCCCAGAGGTGAGCTTCATACCTCCCCGTCCATCTATGCCTGGATGACGACATGCGTCGTCGTCAAGAACCAGCATCAGAAATACGAACCAAGTTTCTTTTCTGCCCCTGCTGTGAGGAGGGGTGGGTAGTTTTACCTAGTGACTCCTCTGAAGGCCGAGCTTCTCTTGCCATTGCCCAACCTCTTCTTATCTGGGTTGGCACCTTTCTTCGCACGCCTGGGTTTCCTGGGCTTGCTCACTTGGAACGCAGAAGAGGAGGACAGAGTGCAAGAGTTGGAAGAGGAGGAGGAGGTGGAGGGAGAGAGTGGAAGAGAAAGGGAGGCACTTTTCATGGGGATTGGTGGTGCAAAGCGTTGAAGCAATGGGGTGATGGGTTTGGCTCTTCGGAGAGGGGGGCCTGAAGTGTATATGTATATATAAAGAGAGGGAGAGGTGGGGGAGGGTAAGCTTACCATTGTTTTCCATTAACACAACTCACATGCTGATGCATCGGTTCAGCTTTTAGCTCGAGATTGTGAACCATGGCACAGAGGTGTCAGATAGAGCCAAGTGGCTCCAAGATTTGCCCGGAGAGTTACTGAGAGAGTTGAACACTTGGCAGAGAGGCTCACCATGCTCCCAATAGGGCTTGGTCTCCCCTGCACACTCTTGCTTCTCTCTCTCTCTCTCTCTCTCTCTCGTGTGTGTGTGTGTATAAGTTGTATTGCGATTCACACACGATAACACGAACAGCTGGGCAGCTAATACGTTCATTACGACAGCGGAAATCTATGTTTGATGCGAAGGCACGAAGAAAGAGAGGGAGCATTTGATGGGAGATGCATGTCTCAGTCAACGAAAGCGAAGTTATCTATTATGATCAAAATTCTCCTCTTGTTAAAGTCTTACACGTCCCTGTCCGCGAGATTCAATCGTACCGCACGAGCTGGACGAGACGAATGGCTGAGGAGTGAGAGACGGTACTTCTCTTCCACGAGGAACATGCACGAGTCGGCTGCGTGTATTTCGAGTGCTTATACCGCAGCTTTTAGATAGTTTGCGTTTGTGGTGAATGAAATGATAGTGAAGAAGGAAAAAGATGGCGGCGGCAATAGCGAGACGGGAACGAAAGAAACGAGTAATATCTAGAAATCATTGTTTGGCCGGTGAGGTAACGGCGGTCTGCAGCACGCAAATCTTATAAGATCATGAATTGGTTTCATACCAACCTTGATGTCGAAAGACGAGATGACAGTGTCATTTGAAAGCGAAATAAAGATACAATTCGTGGTGTTGATAACAGCTTCGTGCTACGCACGCATGCGAGTCAACTCAAGAAATCAACAATGTCATGATATAGATCGCGACAATATGTGGCAGAACCATTGTGCTAACCAGTAGACACCTTATCTCGCCCTCTTAGCTCATCAGCATCCCAAAGTCATAGGAATCGCTACACAGGTACCACTCATGCGTCGTCGTGCGAGTGTGCGTGCGTCATGCAAGAGCGTGGTGTTCCCCCGTGTCTCACGGGTGTGTACCATATGAGAGCAAGTTGTTGTACAGTATCATATGACAGTTGCTTATTGAATGGGATTGAATATAAATAACCCATTTCCCAGCCAACATTATAGTGAAAAAATATATTAAAATTAATTCAAAAAATAGATTAAAAAAAGAAAGAAAAGAGAGAAGATTTCTTATTTTCATTATTTCTTTTTATTTCTCCTTCATTGCTGATGTAAAATATCTTCATGTTTTTCACGATTGTACTCATAAAAGAATCATCCCAATTATATCTTAAATAACCCCTCGATAATGCTTACACGAGATCGAAGAATACAATACTCTTATAATAGTACTTGCATACCTTTGATATTTTAATATTACTACTCTAGTAATAACCTACGATAAGAAAATATTATACCTGTACAAATGGTTCTCAACCTATCGTATTTCGCTACTCGATCGTCCATCTCCATGATGAGAAAGCCACGATGATATTTATCTTCGTCATGTCGAGTTGTCAGAGGATATAAAGACTCAAGAAATTGACGGTGATATGAACATTAAAAATAAAGAATCTGAACATTGCATCAATGTTGTTGACAGAGGACTATCTAATAATAGAGGAGAATAAAAAAAATTAAAATTAAAAATTTATAACCATAGAGCAGATTCTTTTGAGGTCAAATGTATCTCATAGACGCAGAGAATGGATTTAAACCATACTATCACATGTAAAATTATTTTGAGGGGCATGTGAATCCAAGAATTCTTTCACCAAAACCATCGGTTAAATGAGAAGAGATGAAAAATAAGAGAGAGAAAAAAATAAAACGAAAATAGAAGATATATATAGATAGATTAAATATTGAATAGGAGATCATCTTTAAGTGTATTTCTTTCCCAAAATAGTAATAACAAAATATTACTAATTCAAGTTTAAACCAAATAGAAGAGAGCATTTATAATAGGAAAAAACAGAAGTTCTTCGTACTTGAAATATTATACACTGTTTAATATAAATAAGATAAATATCTTTATATGCGATTATGACGATACCTTCTTTCTTTGCTTGATGAACAATATTATCTATCATGATAATTATATTATTATTTTCATATTGGCGAAGATTGATGAATTTTATTATATCACCTATGAGATGATGACCATATCATAAATCAATTATAAATTGATGAATGTCATGACCTCAACAGTTTCAATCATAAAATATCGGAACAATCTTTATTATTTGTAATATTTTCTCATTTAATCATGATAATTTTTTTTGATATGGCCTAAATTGTCAAACCTATAACACCTAATTTTCTTTTGATTTATATCATTATTGGAATAAGACTCTAACTTGTTATTAGTATCATTCTTCTTTTTCTTTTATCTTTATCATTATCCTTTTTCTTATCTTTAAAAAGGGCATCTCTATATTCGCTTGAGGTAGAAACTCTCGTTATTTAATAAGCTAAATATTCTTAAGAAGTAAAAAGATTTTTTAACTTCATTAATGATAGTTATTAGACCTATCCTTGAACAAATATAACATAAGAAGTATTTTTTTTGAAGATCATGAATAATATAATATTTTATTTGTGTATCAGAAATAGACTCACCTAGATCAAAAAATGATATATCTCAATATGAATTTTTAATGTTAAAAATATTTCTTTAAAAAATAAATAAATCACTTTGTATAGCATTTATCAAATCATTCACTAAATACTAAAGTCGTGCTATATTCTCTTCATGATATCTCCAACGATAGTATTTCATTATATGTTGTTGTATTCATACCAATCACATCTTATATATCTTATCCTATGAGATAAGACTCAGAACGTGTTTTTCAGATTTTATAGTTAAACTAATTAAAAAATTGAATATGAAATCTACAAACTCAACTATTGTAATTCATAATAAAAAAAGATTTCTTTTTCACCAAGAAGATTTTGAAATATAAATACCATTCTTGTGGCTTTGATAGTATACGAAGAAAAAGAAAAAAATCACATGCTAGTATAATCCTCGTATAATAGTAATAAAAGTACTACTAACCTAAGATCAAACCAAAAAAAAACAAGACAAAAATAGAAATAAAATTACACTAAACTTCTCATAAAAACATTTACAGGATTTTGAACTACTCTTAAACTTGATCCCTATAGACATAAATACTTAGACTTAAATAAATCTATACATACAGATATCATCTATTTATAGATGTAGAATAATAATTTAAATTAAAAAATTATCTCTTAAAATTTTATCTAATTATATTTATTTAAAAAATATAAATAATCTAATTTTTTTTAAAAAATATACTTTAAATTTAACAAAGAGACTATAAGTGTGTCTCATAGACGCATAGATTGAATTTAAACCATACTATCTGTTTGAGGGGCATACCGTTGTGAATCTTATAATTCTTTCATCAAAGCTAAGGAGAAGAGATAAGAAAGAAGATAGAGGAAAACAAAACAAAATTAGAAGATATACATAGAAAAGATTAAATGTGTGAAGAGACGAACAAAGCAGAAAATTTATCCCCCTTTCGTTGACTTTTACGTTGACGGATAAGCTGTTTCCACAAGCATTTGGTGAAATCATAAGATTGTTTCTTACAAAAGACCCGAAGCTGCATTGGACCCATCTGATCTCAAAATCCCAAAAAGATCAGCCAACTGTAAGTACAGCGTAAGAAGACTCTCTGCCGTCAACTGCCAGCACCATCCGTCACCTGAAATCTCTCACAGACCAAGAAACTTGAAAAGCTTCACCTTCACACCGCACTTCTTGGAGACGATCTTGGCATTCTCCGTCAAGCCGGTCACCGTCACGTCACACTTCAGCTTCACGGTGATCGTCCAGCTCGTGACGCCGCCGAACTTGATCCTCACGGGCACCTTCACGTCGATCTCCAGAGGTACCTGCCGCTGTGTCTCCGCCGTCACCAAAGCTTGGCGGGCGGCCGACGACAGGCGGATCGTGGACCCCTTCAATGCCGCCACGAACACCGTCACGTTCCCCGGCGACTGGTAGAAGGCAAGCCAGGCGCCGGTGCAAAGCGTGACGCCGTCGTAGGCTACCGTGATGTCGCTGCCATCGCGGTAGTAGATGCCGACCTTCTTGTTGGGGTTCTCGGCGCGGACGGTGGCGTCGAACGCAGGGGATACAGAGGCAGCGGAGAGGTTGAAGGAGGCGATGGAGAGGGCGTCGATGGAGTATTGGGGGACCCGGGGTCGAAAGACGAGGTATAGGATGTCGGCGACGACGGCAAGGAGGAAGAGGAGGGCGCCGAGCCAGGCGAAGACAAGGAAGCAGCAGCCGCGGCGGCGGGCGTAAGCCTTCGCGCGACTACCGTTGCCCTTCGGCGGGACGCGGAGGACCAGGTCCCTAGGCACCTGGATCACGTAGCTTCCCGGCTGCCTCACGGGTTTGGGGAGGATACTCTGGGAGGATGCGGAGGAGCGGGGGCTCTCCCAAGGATCCGGTATCGGTCCGGTGGCAGGTTCCGGCTGCACTGGGTGGACGCGGTCAGCCATCATCACTGTTTCGTAGCAGGCAGTCGAGTGAGCTGCAGAAGGAACAGCGACGGGATGATTCGCTGATTACACGGTGAAGAACAATAACCTGTTTTTATTTTCCTTTTTTCCATCTTTTCCATCATCGATTTAAAGCATTGAAGAACGCGTGAAGAACAGAGAAGCCGGGGTCAAAAATGACAACGGAGAAGACATAAACGTCACTGATCCAAGCAGCATAAAAACAGAGGTAAACTCCTATAATTACTTCGAAGTGCCAAATGTTTCGAAAATGAGAGACTCACAGAACATGAAGAAAAATCTAAGATATACTCGATTTAAGAATGGAGATCGGAAAAAGTCCAGATTTTGATTCATCTGGAACACCAAACTGGAGATTTTGAACAATCTGAGGCAGCAACGAGGTCTAAGTAATTCGGAAACCAATAGGAACAAAAACATGACGGCAAAAGCGAAGCAAAGTCAGGGCGGTTTTCATTCGTCCCAAATTGATAACACCCTCAATAGCGAAGAAGAAACAACACAGCAAAATTTAGAGAAACAGAGGATTAGAGAGAAGCAAACAGAGACATCACAAAAACGCAAAAAGTGGGCTTTGATACATTCAAAACAATTAACTCCTTGGAGATGGAGGAAGAAGTAACTGACCAAATCTAACGTACCAGTAGTAGGACTCGGCTTGGCTTGGGAAGGGAGCAGGAGAGTGATAGATCAGTCCTAGGAGGAGGACTTCCTCCTCCTCTTCCTACTTGTATTTAGCCAGACAAGAAGAATCCGACCACCTCAGTGGCGGCGGGGACTTGGATTACGAAGGGAGCAGGTGTTCTTGAAGCGAAGCGACCCATCATTGGAAGACCGAAGCTTTCCTCTTATACTGAACCCTGCTCGTGCGGCGGACAGATGCTGCGGTCTTCCTCTCGGAAATGACCTCATGAGACAAAGCCCACCCGTCCGATCTCCCACGGTCGACGACGGGCAAAAAAAAGTCAGCACCGTTCGATCTGCTCTGCTGGTGATAGTAGCGGTGACAGCTTCGTCCGCGTGCGACGCGCTTTCGTCGCCAAAAACAATCAATTTACTACCACCTCAGCAGGGGGCATGTTTTGGTGGGTCCTTTCTTTCCTTCTACGTGGGTCCCACACGGCCTCCATCTTATCGTTGATGGTTGGTTGCGTCTTTGGGTATACGACGCAAGGGATACAGATTATAGCGGGATCCACAGCTGTGGGGATTATAATGGCTGGACAATTGCAGCCGTCGTACAGGTTCATCCAATCGAATCTAAGATCCGTGCGTCCAACTTACAGAATCCTGACCCGAATCCATCACGCCACGAACCCATCCAAACCCGCTCCATTGAATTGGTTTTTTATTTTTGAAGTAATTTTAGGTTGATTTTACAATCAAGTGTAACATAATTTATCTATGAGCATAACCAAATATTTGAGAGGGCCAATTACACCTTCTGGTGGCGGCGGTGGGGAATGGCCATGGTCTTCCTTACGCCCACCGCCGTTCGCTTCCTCCCCTGCCGTCGGCATGTCGTCTGTGCATGCATCGCGAGCCCGTGGCGGCCACACTCGTTCGTTTAACTGATTCCGGGCATGTTTGTTCGCGTCGTTTCCAACACTTTTGCGTTGTATCGCTGTCATCCGTGGTGGGCCCATGCAGAGCTGGCACATGGCTGTGCTGAGATGGAACCCACCCACCCACCCTCATTGCAAGTATTACTTACAAGAAGCAATAAAGAGAGAGAGAGCTGGAGCAATAAAGGGAGAAGCTTAGCACGCCGACCAGCAGCAAAGACATTGATCGATCGTTCTCACTTACTGATAGATTTGGTTATGATCGTGTTTACCGATCTATCTTCTAGTATTCCAGTGGTTGCGTGTTGTATGAATATTCATGGAATGAGAGTATATTAAAGAGTATGCAACTTTCTTCACTGGCATACACATATACTACTCCGTTTTACCAGTCTTTAGAGTGAGATGCGGGCAACGTGGTGGCCATCGTCCTAATCATATGGTTTGAGTTGTTCCGAGCATGTAATATATATGTATACTCTCAAGCATGTGAGGCCACAGAACTGCTCTTTTTGCATATGTCACACCGCAGTGAGAGGTTCTTTTGTGTCTGCAAGCTATAAGCTTCTGCCACAACCATATGTTCCCTCAAAATCGAAGAACCATCGAACGCCATGGCGTTCCTCTCCAAGTCTTCCCTCGCTCTCCTTCTCTTTCTGCTTGCTGCTTCCGCCGTCCGTGGGCAGCGGTTGTCTCATAAATTCTATTCGCGTAGCTGCCCCGGCTTGCAACCTCTGATTCGTGACATCGTGCAACAGGCGCTCCGAGATGATCCCACGTTGGGAGCTTCCATCCTTCGCCTCTTCTTTCACGACTGTTTCGTAAATGTCCGGACACGGCACCCCTGTTCCTCTCAACTTGTTGCTTGTTTGTTGAGCCAGTCACTCGCCGTACATGTATATGCGTGTTTAATGTCCCCATCCTCCTCAGGGCTGCGATGCGTCGGTCCTCCTGGATGACACACCGTTCTTTGTTGGCGAAAAGAACGCGCCCCCGAATATGAATTCTCTCCGTGGCTTCCAAGTTATAGACGTCATCAAGGAACGCGTCGAATCGCGTTGCCGGGCAACTGTGTCTTGTGCCGACATCTTAGCTCTCGCAGCTCGAGATAGCGTCGCGTTGGTTAGTATCATCGATCAGATGCATGCATGCATCGATCACCTCCATTAGGTAAACACTACTCCAAGTACTGATACATATATGTGTCGCGGTGGTGCTTACTTAATTTGCAGCTTGGAGGGCCATACTGGGCGGTATATCTGGGGCGCAGGGATGCCAGGACGGCGAGCCGGCAAGCGGCCACCTTGAACCTTCCACCGCCCGGTGAGAGCTTCACCAACCTCGTCTCTTCGTTCGCGGCCAAAGGACTCGGCACTCGGGACATGATCGCACTCTCGGGAGCACACACTATAGGTCAAGCACGCTGCAGCAGCTTCCGCCCACGCATCTACGGTGACAGCAACGTGGACCCCAGCTTCGCCAGCATCCGCAGGCAAACCTGCCCGCCTCTCGGTGGCAACAACTTAGCTTCGCTCGACGTGCAGAGCCCCACGGTTTTCGACAACAAGTATTACCAGAACCTCGTGGCCCGGCGAGGCCTTCTCCACTCGGACCAGGAGCTCCTCAATGGCGGATCCTTCGATTTCTTCGTACGGTCGTACAGCTTGAATCAAACGGCTTTCTTCAATGATTTTTCGTCGGCGATGATAAGGATGGGCAACATCAGACCTCTGACAGGATCCAACGGGGAGGTCAGACTGAACTGCAGAAAGTGGAACTGATGATGATGATGATGATTTGTATTAATTTTTGTGGGGTGGCTGAATTGCCATCTCATGAGTTGTTCTCTTCATTCTTGATTCTATTCCATCTTGTGTCCGCCGCCCCACCTACTACTCGGGATCGATGCAGAATAAAGTAGTTGCTTGTAGAAGTGATTTCTTTGTGATGAGGCTTCTTTCTCCTTTCCATTTCGTGAACACCTCATACAGTTTCCTTTCTTTCGAATGTTATCATGCACAGCACAACCCTGACTGAGATTAGGTGTTAAACTTAGAATTAAATAAAGCAAAGTAACTTTATTGGGAATCTAATCTAATCTAATCCAGACAAGAGCAGATAATAGAAGACACAGAAAAAGCATGGGTGACAAATATAACTATCACAACGCTTGATTCAAATAAGTTTGATTCAAAAACACTCTTCGCACCATTACAACTAGCTTTCTATGTCACTGAGCTAGCATTTACAAGGGTAGAATAATCATGTCATGTACCATAAAATAGGCATTAAGCAATCATAGCTTCACACCAAAGCAACTTTGATTGTAGAACAAGCTTTCGCAAGATGGGATTATCTCCTTATCTCCATGTCAGGAAAGCATAAGCCTCACTGTCCCTTTGCATGCATTTGGACCTACGCTTCACCTACTCTAAGGCTAACAATTCTTTTATTTCTTTTAGAGACAACCAAAGCTATACCTCTTCGAATATCTAAAATCATATACAACCCAATCTCCTTCTTTTTAAGGCCTTGTGATATCTCGCTGTTTCTATCCAGTGTGAAGGTCTAGTCCAACACACACTTTACCACTCTGGTGGACAACTTGGAACCACTTTTTATTGGACCAAAAATATTGAAACTTATATGATCGATTGTCTTTGGGTCGATTTGGTGTCCCAAATATATATATATTTGTTTCTAAAAGCAATCTTCTCCACTTTTTCTTATCTAATAAATTTAATAAAGGCAGTGATCATTGCAGGAAGGACACCACATTTTAAGAAATGGAAGACAACTAGTAGGAGTATAGATTACACATTGGAAATCTAGATCACATCGCAATGATACTACTTACTATTTAGATGATTGAAGTAAATGTGCAGGTTAGAAAATGTCTCATTCGGATGGTAAGGTTTCAACAATTTATACAGAAGATAAAACAAATTTATTAGAATATAAAACAAATTATGCTTTCAATAAAAATAAAATTATCTACTATCAATGTTATCAACTGCTTTTGTAGCTTTCCCTCCAAACATGTCATAGTTATTGTTTCATAAACTTAGCAAGTGTGACTAAATTTCTTTTTCATAAAATTCAATTGAATCTTTATCTACTTTTAATTCTGCATGATACTCTTTTTCTGATTTATCATCTAATAGGAGAATTTACAACATTTTTTCATATATGTCCTTTAATAACAACTATAATTTTTTATATATGAGAATATACTTTTCTTTCATAAGTATCCTTTAAGAACAATCAAGATTCTCTTAATGTATTAGTTTCATATAACCATTTGAAGTAGCATTTTCATTTAAAATCACTTGCTAGATAAATGATAGTACTCCTATATCTTCTTCTTTATTTATTTATTTATTTTTTTTAAGTGTTTCATGTAATTGTCATTTATCATATACTTAAAGATATCTAAAAATATTTTTGATTAAAAAAAGCATACTATTTATAATCCTACTAATTAAAAAAAGCATACTATTTATAATCCTACTAATTAAAAAAAACCTACTATTGATAATCTTTTACTATTCATAATCTCCTAAAACATTAATAAAATAATACTTTACTACTTCTAAGCTAACTCATTTTGATTTTATCCTTCTCCACAACCCTTGTGATCAACGCTGCCGTCAACATTCCCTTAGTCCATACTCCTTGTTGTCAATTATGACTGCTCTCTAATTCGCACTTCTTATCATCGATCACCCCCTTCAAACTCATACTTTCTGTTGCCCCATAACTCGTGCTTCTCGTCGATCATAATCTCCTAACTTGTGCTTATTGTTATCGATTGTTACCCCTCAACATGTATTTTAATGTCACTCAATGCCCTTCAACCCAATTCATTGTCTTCTTGATATTGTTCTTCCAAGGTGGAAGAGGAGGAGAAGAAAGAAGGAAAAAAAAAAGATAGTCTTGAAAAATTAATTTTTAAAAAAATAAGATAGTAAATAGTAATCTCATTAAAAAAAAAACCTTGAGCATAAGTTTTTGTCTGGATGATTTTTTTCTCAAATTAAATATAAAAATAGAAAACACATCATCTATACTAAAAAATGAGCTTTGTTGTCCTTGGTACTGTAATACTGATCAACTTTGTTGACTAATTTATCCTCATTAATCAAATTAATTGAATAAAAAAATTAATCAAATTATCCTAATTTTCTCGCAATTTTGAGATTTTTACGGTTGGTGTTTCCCTTTTGTTTTTCCCTATAATACAACTCTCGTACTTTGCATTAAATCGGTCCATAGGTGAATCTGTTTTGCTAATACGTGAGTTATAATATATTTTAATATATTTATAAAAATATAGATTTAAAATTCAACATAAAATAACTTACCATTCCTGATTGAGGTTTTAATGAATTTATGAGTAAGAAGAGCATGCAAGCAAAGTTGACATATATTATAATATGTTTTTATTAAAATTATAATATTTTTGTGAAGGTATAAAACAAAGATGATAGATGGCGAAAAATAAAAATGAGGACATCAATTGGCAAAAATCCAAAATGATGTGCCAATTTCTCGAATATTTGTAAAAAAATAACAATCTCGCTCAGGATGGCACGTGCAAAGCACATGCTCTAATATAATGTCATGCAAGATCTGGGCCCCCTATATAAGAGGTGGAATCTCCGGACGGTCGGCCGGCAGCTTCCGCTGGTTCTTCTGCGTCGTCTCCCCACAGTAAACCCTAACGCCTGCGCCGAGAAATGGTAGGCTAAATCCGGTTCTTTCCATTATCCCCCTTCAAAGAATTCGATCTATAGGCCGTGCAGATCAATGTAAAACTCGATCGAGATTCACCTTTCATCGTGCTGCAAATTCCCTTTTCTTATCAGTATCTGTTTCGATTTTAATCTTACTTCTCTGCGTTTTATTTATGTAGTACGTGATTTGTCTTCCAGGGCCCAAAGAGAGGTGGGAAGGCGCCCGTACCGGCAAAGAAGAAACCGGTAATCTGTCAGTCCTGTGTTTGTAGATTCATAGTAGTATTTGGATTTCGTTTCTCGAGTTTTACATTTTGTGGCTTCGTCGGTGCTTGGATCTCAGGAGAAGGTTGTGAACCCTTTGTTCGAGAAGCGCCCGAAGCAGTTCGGAATCGGAGGGGCATTGCCGCCTAAGAGGGATCTTCATCGGTTTGTGAAATGGCCGAAGGTGGTCCGCATTCAGAGACAGAGGAGAATATTGAAGCAGCGATTGAAGGTTCCTCCGGCTCTGCACCAGTTCACTCGGACTTTGGACAAGAATCTTGGTGATCGAAAATATCTATTCCTTTTACCTGTTAACCTATATCAAATTTTCTTAGTAGGTTCACGCAAGCATAATTATTATATTTTTTTGCTGGTAGCGTAGGGTTCATATATATATATATTTTCATGTGTGTTATGTTGCTGCCCTTAATTAGGAACTGACAAGTAATCAGTTAATTTGATAGTAGATATCAGTGGAACTTCCTGCTTGTTGTCTGTTTGGTTTTTTGTGCTGTGCTCACTTTGTTGATGGTGGATTGGTTGATTGCTTAAACATTCATGGAAATGTTCAAATTTATGTTATTTCGTCATTTTCTCTCAGCTTAATGTTCTTGGAGGTGGATTTTCTGTTCAATTTGTTTGTAGTTTAGGTAGTCAATGGATTTGTCTTATTGTTTCCATAAGGTTGTCTCAAGTCCTTATTATCCTTCTAAGGGTTGCATAAGATCAATTCACATTGCTTATCTTGTGTCGTTTCTTTAACAATTAAATATGATCTATATTTAGCTATCTATTTTTCTCCATCTCTTCCTTGACAATTCAATGCAATAAAATAAAAAGTCTAATATTTGGATTTTCAGGGTCTAAGTGGTTTTCTTTAATATGCTTGCAAATATAAGGTTTAGATGCTAGTATGTAAAATGAAAAATTATTGAAGTCTTTTATCAGTGATTTACACAATCATAGAGGGAGGGTCATTTTGGGTGTCACAAATAGCAAAGCTTTTCGTAACTCAATTAACTGTGCAACCATGGAAGGAGGCCCACAGTGTTTTGCCGGAAATGAAAGGGAAGCATAGAACATCCCGGAACTTGTTATTTGCTAACCTCCACATTAAGTTAGCTTTGCAAAAACTGTAGAAGGAAAGTGGCATTTAATTTCAGCTTTTTTTTGCAGCAAGGTATAGTTGTAGTGAATTTGTTTTAGCATAAGAATTTTCTCAAGACACAATAATTCTGGTTTTTGTTATAATTAGTAATTAAATGTGGTGTTAGATGACGAGTGATATTGTTTATTTAGGATATTTGAACATTATAAAGTTAGTGATCAATTGGCACACTTAAAGTCTCTATTCATCTGCTCAAATTGTTTATTTAGTAGAGTCCTTATGGAACTTAGATTCTCCTTGGAAAAAGAGAGAAGTGAGATGACTATGAAGTTATGCCATGCTACCTCTTTCTTTTTTATAATGTTCTCGGTGTCCTAGATAGAGTTATCGGTATCAATCGAATGGCATGTAGCTCTAAAATGGTAGATCTTGAAGGACCAGTAGATTTTGATGGACAATATGATTCTAGTAATATAAAAAGACAAGTCACTTCCAATTGTTTTTGACCAACTTTGTTTAGTTGTAATCAGTTGGATTGATTAGCAATATTAACATGTGACAGCCAGATGCCAATTGAGTTCTATCAGTTCTTGCTGCTTTCCAGCATGTGGTTCTTTTCAAGGGTCTGATAGCGTTTGGATATGGCAGAGTTGTCTTTAAGGTAGGGAGGAGGCTGTGGACTGGACATTGTAGATTTCTGAAATGATGGATAGCTTCATGATAAGATAAATGTGTTCTTATTTGTTCGTAATAGACAACAAAAATGTTTATGGTGGAGCCGGTGTCTGTAACCTGTACTTTTCTTGTCTATATGCCAATATATTGCTGCTTCACTCTTTGGCTGTATTTATATGATATCTATGTGTCAGCAAGCAGATGCATTTCATTGATGTTGTGATAATTATAGATTCCCTTAATTTTCTGGGTTCTTTCTTTGTATGTATTGACTTAGGTTGAGAAGTAGTCATCTGTTTTAATGGCATGTTTCTCAAATTCCTAATAGTCCTTTTAAGTTAGTCTTGATTGTTCAATGCAATGATTTATTCCAAAAGAAGTGTGTACTATTTATATCCTACTGACTAATCTGTCTATAAAATATTTTTGCAGCTACAAATCTCTTCAAGATGCTTCTCAAATACAGGCCTGAAGACCGAGCTGCAAAGAAGGAAAGGCTTCTGAAGAGGGCGCAAGCTGAGGCTGAAGGGAAAACTGTTGAAGTTAAGAAGCCCATTGTTGTTAAGTATGGGCTCAATCATGTCACTTACCTTATTGAACAGGTTTGTAAATGTTTTTCCCCCTCTTTGTGTTAATGCTTGCAGATCGTATGTGCATAATTTTACTTCCCTAATGCCACTGACCAATAAAATTCAAATCTCTTAGGAAAGAAATAAGTAGATTTTACTAGCATAAACTGTCAAATTACTTCTTGATGCACCCTCCTTGTAGAACAAGGCACAGTTGGTGGTTATTGCTCATGATGTTGACCCAATCGAGCTTGTGGTTTGGCTACCCGCTCTGTGCAGGAAGATGGAGATACCCTATTGTATTGTCAAAGGAAAAGCTCGTTTGGGAGCGGTTTGTTCCCCATCTGTCATTGGCATTTTGCTAAAATTTGAAATTGAAGCACTTTCATGTGGTTGACATGTCATTTTTTTTGTGTAAATTTGAAATTCTTATAGATCGTGCATAAGAAAACAGCATCAGTCTTGTGTCTAACCACTGTGAAGAACGAGGACAAATTGGAATTCAGCAAAATCCTGGAGGCCATTAAGGTGAATATTAGAACCAACAGTAATGTGATTTTCTCTGTTGAAACTTAGGAATTTTCCTATACTGACTGCAACTCGACTTTTAGGCCAACTTCAATGATAAGTTCGATGAGATCAGAAGGAAGTGGGGTGGTGGAGTTATGGGTTCCAAATCTCAGGCAAAATCCAAGTCTAGGGAGAAGTTGCTAGCAAAGGAAGCTGCCCAGAGAATGAGCTAAGGCTTCTCTTTGTCTTGTTATTGGTGCTATCAGATTTGCGCCAGTAGGGTTTTTTGATTAAATTCTGTTGGTGGCAAATATTTTTTGGTTTATTTGGAGCTTCAGTCAACTTATATCAAACCCAGTGTCTTGCTCATCAAAGATTTTCCAACCAGTGGACTCACTACCATATTGCTTGGTAGTATTTTGGTGCCATGAAGGTCTCGCTATTAACCATTTTGGTTACATGACAGACTCCTCAGTTGCCTATGTGAATTTTTCGATTGTGCAGACCAGATGTTGCGGTGTCTGGTCTTTCTTTTTCTTATCTGTTGTTTGGAAAGAAGAAGAAGAAGAATAATGGTGGTCTTTTATGTTCAGTTTGTCTCGGTTCTTTTGGTCGGTGGAGAATGGTGGTCTTTTCAATCATGCAATCCATCCAATTATTCATGACCATTGAGTGTCTGGAGCAATATTTTCAAGGTACCATGAAAAATAATCATCAACGCACTCTGCGAGTCAACCGATACCAGCTGTTCGTTGTCTGAAGTTGTGTGTCTTGGAGTCATCGGGGCTGCGATGCGTCGATTCTTCTTGATGGTCCGTCAAATGCTGAAAAGAATGCCATTGCAAACAACAACTCTGTGCGTGGATTCGAGGTCATAGACGCTATCAAGAACCAAGTGGACGCGGCGGCTTGCAAAGCAACCGTGTCACGCGCGGATATCTATCTTGTCCATAGCAGCACGAGATGCAGTCACTTGGGTCAGCGTCCAGCAAACCTATATCTTCGTTTCGTTTCGTTTCGTTTCATGAAGCCCTTCCACTATGTATATATACTACAATTCCATGCATGTAGCTTGGAGGACCAAAATGGCAGGTTGTGTTGGGCCGCATGGATGCGAGGACGACAAGCCAGAATGCAGATGACGAACTCCCACGGCCATCATCGTCCAGCCTCTGCCTCTCCGCCCTTATTTCCATGTTCGCTTCCAAGGGCCTCAGTCCGCAGGACATGAATGCGCTCTCGGGGCCACATACCGTAGCTCTCGCCCAGTGCTTCACCTTCCGCGATCGCCTCTACCTGGACTCCAACATGGATGCTAACTTGACCGCCTTACGCAAGCAAAGCTGTCCACCATTCGGCGGCAATAGCAACTTGGCTCCTCCGGATCTCCAAACCCCATACCGTTTTGGCAACGACTACCACCAGAATCCCCTCTCGCCGTGGGCTCCTCCACTCCCACCAGGAGCTCTTCAATGGTGGCTCGTAGGATGCCTTGGTTTGGGTGTACGCCACCAACGTCGCCGTACTCTATAAACATTTTGCCACAGCCATGGTGAAGATGGGGAACATCAGCCCCCCGCCGACGGTTGGAACTCAGGAAGGCCATTGATGGCGTCAAATTTGAATGATGAATGAAAATGAGGTGGTGTTTATTTGGATAATCTTTGAGTAGACACAAAGAACCACTTCATTAGTCGCTAAATATTATTACTCGACGCAAAGTATATATTCTAATAGGTTGACTTCTTAGATTGTTATTAGTATTTTTAGTGGCATACGCTAACGATAAGTTACATTTTATCTTGAGTTAAAATGTTATTGTGTTGGTGTTGTTGACTGGGAGCCAACACGACATGATTCTATCCTAAAGATAAAAATCCGTCGAGTGGCTCGTTGTAGAGTGAGGCAGCAATCCGAACAAGGAACTAAGATGACAGGTAGACTTCTGAAGTGTTACTGGCTCACGATGACGGTCATGTGATCATCTCGAGATACGACTTGCCTACTAAATGGGGTTTTAGGTCATCTTAAGGAGCTCCTTAAATGTATCAAAATCCTGTACAAGCGATAAGTAACGAGGGGGTTTAAAATGTGTTTTTATATATTGAAGGAGAGAAGGAAGTATAGAATTATCTTCCTTATCATAAAAGGAGAGAAAGAAATTTGTAATTATCTTCCTTATCATAAACGGAGAGAAAGAAGTTTGTTATTGTCTTCCTTACTATAACGAACAAGAAAACAAATATATTTCTCTGCTTTTATACATCACTTAGATGACATGACAATTGGTAAATTTCTCTTACAATCGAAGTATCTAAAATGCCTCCCAGTTTTGTTTTTGTTGGGGACAAAGTTAGGCGTCCAAATAATAATGCTAAATTGGAATGGAGCAGAGGATACAGTTGATCGATGTGATTGTGAGATAGCAGCAGTAGCAGAGGAGAGAGTCACAGGGTTATCTTATTGGCCTGGTTAATGGTAATGGTACCCACCGGTGGTCCTATTGGAATCCAACAAAATCGAGAAAGGCCTAAAGAAAATAATATTCCCACAAGCCTCATCGCGAAGCAAAGCACACAAGCAAGCTCGACAGCGACACAATTGTCACGTCCCCCAAGCTTCTCGTTGCCGTTTATAGCTAGCTGTAAGACATGGACACAACATTATTTTGAGTTTGCTCGCATTCATTTTTTATGGTTATGTGAGAGACATAAGAGAGAGTTTTGGGATCCAAGACTGCCTCCATCCCCACATCCCAAGATTAGAAGCTCCATCATCTCTATCTATCTGTATATATATATATATATGAATACTAAAGGCCATATATCCTTGCGTTTCCACAGTGTGAATTCATACATATAGCTTCTTCCAGTTCCATCTTAATTTCTCCTAGCATGGCTTCCGTTACTAATGGATTCCTGGCAGCCACCATCCTTTCTCTGCTGGCCTCCGCCGCTTATGCGCAGCTGTCGCCCGCGTTCTACGCCAGGACGTGCCCCAACCTGCAGACCATCGTGGGATCAGCCATGGCGCAGGTGGTGAGGCAGGAACCAAGGATGGGCGCCTCCATCATTCGCCTCTTCTTCCACGACTGCTTTGTGAACGTGAGAATCTATCTCTTCCTTTCCTTTCCTTTCTGTCTCTCTACTCTTCTCTTTTGTTTGTCCTTGTGGTTTTACGGGTAAAGTTTGCTCCGGTGATCCGTACTAGAGTACTTTCGAGCTCATGCTCAGAACCGCTGACTGCCCTCTTTATTCTCCTAATCCAATTTACTTGTAACCTTTTCCCATGCACGAAACTACAGCTGCCTTAGATGTGGCGTGGTGGTGAGTTTTGATTGGGCAAGCGGTGCAGTTTAGGTGAACCCACTGAAAGCTAATAAGAACCATCGTGACCTCTTTTCTTTATGAGCTTCCATGAATGATATGCTTCCGCTAGTTCGGCCTCATTTTTCACACGATAGTAAGCATCGTCATAAGCCATTTTACGAGGTTTTGGTGATTGCTTTGAGGCTATGATTTTATTTATTCATTTATATACAACCCTCAACACACTACATATACTAACTCTGAAGCAAAAGTGTTGCTTTGTTAGAGGGCATAAATGTTATCTATTAGCTATAAGGTGTTGCATACTGTTCGAGTCAATTTGTTTGCACCTCAGAGAAACCGGGGCTAACTTTTTGTATTGCATATCATTAAAGGATTGATGTTTGGCTTCTCCAGATCGACTACCATATGCTTGTTTGTTTGATTACATCCAACTTCGATTCAACCATCAGATCAAGAAGTTGATTTGGTTTGAATCGATTGTTCCTATTTGAGATATTAGACACTCTTGTGTATGTCTCGACGGGACGACCAAAGGGTGGGTGTCGTATCGATGAGGCTTCTCATGGCGGGCGCGTGGGTGGCCTCTCCCTTTCTTTCACGTGCATGAGTTTATAATGCAGAGACAAGTCCACCTCACGAAAGCGAATATTAATAGTCTAATAATTGTCGACATTAATTATTACTTAATAGAATAAAAATATATGTAACATTCATACAATGATTGGTTTGATGGTCAATAATGTTCATGTTTTCCCTTTTTTTTATTGGGTAGAACAGATAGATTCATACTAAGGTAATCGATTATTAGTAAAGCAGTTTAAGTGAAGAGAGAAATCAGCGAATAGGAAACAGACAATAGAAAGTACTATCTGTGTCGATAGATATCCTCCGGAAGTTTTAGACACAAAGAATCTAAACGTAGATCTGTCTCTTCACTTTATTTAAGTGGATTCCCACTGGAAGATGGGAGGCAAAGGTACGATGGAGACTCTACGGGACTGTTTATTGTGTTCTGAACATATATCCATCCAACCATCGAGAACAGATAGATCTCAAAGAATCTGGGTAGAACAGCTAGTGAAATTAGATCGAATAGTTGTGTCTCGTCACCCATATGTATATTACGCTGATTGGATCAATGTGGGTACGGTTTAGTTGATTAATATTAACAGTTTCTTCTTCTAAAATAATAAATAATAATTTCTTGGCACAGTTTGAGTTGCTAAGCTGACGGTGTCTGAATTCATCCCCGCCTCAGGGCTGCGATGCATCCGTCCTCCTCGACGACACGCCGACCATGATCGGCGAGAAGAACGCGGCGGGAAATGCCAACTCCCTCCGCGGCTACCAAGTCATCGACGCCATCAAATCCCGCGTGGAGGCGGCATGCCGGTCGACGGTCTCCTGCGCCGACATCCTCGCGCTCGCTTCGCGTGACGCCGTGACCCTGGTTGGCACTGCACCCGTGCTTCGCTGCCTGGTACAGCCCCCATCGGTTATAATCGCCTGATACTGACACGCGTTGGACGCCATGCAGCTCGGAGGGCCATCGTGGACGGTGCTGTTGGGCCGTCGGGACGCGAGGACCGCGAGCATGGCCGCAGCGAACGCCAATCTCCCGCCCGCCACCGATGGCATCAACAACCTCATCTCCAGGTTCTCTGCCAAGGGCCTCGACCTGCGTGACCTGACCGCGCTCTCCGGCGCGCACACCGTCGGCGCAGCAAGATGCATAAACTTCCGGCCGCACATCTACGGCGACTCCAACGTCGATCCGGGATTCGCTATGTTCAGGAAGCGGATCTGCCCGGCTGCTGCTGGCGTTGGCGACTCCAACTTGACCCCGCTCGACTCTACGAGCCCAAACCGCTTCGACGTCAGCTACTACCGGGACTTGATGGCCCGAAGGGGGCTGCTTCACTCCGACCAGGAGCTCTTCAACAACGGGCCGGCGGACGGACTGGTGCGGTTGTACAGCTCCAATGGTCGGGCCTTCAACACCGATTTCGCGGCGGCCATGGTGAAGATGGGCAACATCAGCCCCTTGTTGGGGTCCGCTGGGGAGATCAGGCTAAACTGCCGTCAGGCCAATTGATGATGATGATGATTGCTATATACATTATATATATATATATATGATTGAGTACCACAACATATAAAATGTATGTGGATGGGAAGACTAAGGGCGTTGATATTGTTCTCCATGTCTTATATAAGGAGTGAATCAAGAATATTTATTAAGGTGAGGGTGCCTCCCTATTCTATCAAAACCATCCCATTCTATCAATGCTTCATTTATCTTGAATGCAAACAAGAATAGTAGAGTTGAATTGTAGATCAAAACAAGGAGGAAGAACGAGATGGAAAAGATGATGCCTTGCTATCTTTCCACCCTGCACAAACTGCCGCGAGAAGTGGCTTTGGATGTGAACCATCTAACAAAGGCGGCAGCAGAACAACGTGGCTCGCATGACTCCTCACATGAATCCCAATCCTTGGGGTAACGAACGAGATAGATGTTGTTAGAGCCGGCCTCGATCTAATAAAGTAATTTATCAAAAAGTAATTTAGCAATATAATAAAGATAATAAAGCAGAAAAATAATAGAGACAACATCATTGATTCGATCAATTGACCTATTCTTAGGCCATAAAAAATAACTAAGCATCGACTTAATAGAAATTAAACCCAAACCAAACAATTAGATATTTTTCTTGTTGCATATGACTTCAAAACTCAGGCCCTTATTTATAGTTGTAATACGAGATAATAAGCTTGATATTCCCGATGTGGGACTATATGAGACTTGCCAAACTAATAAATCTCCACCTTGGCATGTCCCAACATTGATAATTAACAAAAATTACTCCACGTTCTTCACAAAAGCCTCAATGGGCAATTACCAACAATGAACACCAACTAAGTCCAAGCACTACTTGAACTTGTAAATCAAAAGAGGCTTCGTAAGCATATCAACTGGATTGTCCTTCGTATGAATTTTCTGAACAAGGACCTTTCTCTCAGCAATGATATCTCAAATAAAATGAGACTTCACATCGATGTATTTCGTCCTCTCATGATACATTTGGTCTTTAGTCAAATGAATAGTACTTTGACTATCACAGTAAATTGTAGTAACACCTTAATACATATATAATTCGCCGAACAAACCTCTTAACCATAAAACTTTTTTGATCGCCTCTATCACTGCCATATATTCTGCCTCTGTAGTAGATAAAGTCACGACAGATTGTAAAGAAGCTTTCCAACTAACTACACAACTGCCAACGCAAAAAACATAGTATGTCAAAGATATTCGTTTATTAAGATCCGTAGCATAATTAGAGTCGACGGAACAAACCAAAGTGTCACGATTTTTTTCAAACTCCAAAAAAGTATTTGAAGTCCCTTGCAAGTATCTGAGAATCTACTTCACAGCCTGCTAATGTGTTTTACTCGGGCGAGACATATATCTACTAACTACATTGACTGCTTGTGAAATATCCGGACGAGTATAAACCATTGCATACATAATACTATGAATATGAAACTTACACCATATATTCTTCCTCTTCAACTGACTATGGTGATTGAGCAGCAGATAACTGAAAATGGCTAGCAAGAGGAGTACTCACTAGCTTAGCATTTTTCATGCCAAACCTCTCTAAGACTTTATTAGGTAATTTTTCTGGGTTAGAAATGATTTTCCAACTCCTCGTTCTCTTTTGATCTTCATGCCAAGAATTTTCTTAGTTACTCCTAAATCTTTCATTTCAAATTCACTACTTAACTACATTTTCAAAGTATGAATTTCTGACATATTCTTAGCTGCAATAAGCACGTCATCAACATAAAGCAACAAATACACAAAAGAGCCATCAGTTAAATTATGGAAGTAGACACAGTTATCATACATGCTCCTCGTGTACTCATAACCCAACATAAAAAAAATCAAATCTCTTATACCACTGTCTTGGAAACTGCTTCAATCTGTACAAGGATTTCTTTAACAAGCAAACATGGTCTTCCTTACCGTTAACTTCAAATCCATGAGGTTGCTCCATGTAAATTTATTCTTTGAGTTCACCATATAAGAAAGTTGTCTTGACATCAAGTTGCTCCAATTCCAAATCATACATGGCAACTAAAGCAAGCAAAACACGAATAGAGCTATGTTTAACAACAGGTGAAAATGCATAATTAAAATCAACACCATGTACTTGACTATAGTCATTTGCAACCAATCGTACTTTATACCTTGCATCTTGAACCCTTGGAATACCTTCCTTCCTTTTGAAGACCTATTTGCATCCAACAATTTTCTTACCCGAAGACGACTTCACAAGATCTCAAGTTCTATTCTGATGGAGAGATTGAATTTCTTCATTTATCGCAATCAACCATTTAGCGGAACTATCATAAGAAACTACATCTGAATAGGTAGTAGGCTCACCAACTTCACTTGTTTCTTCTGTAACAAACAAAGCATAGGCAACAAATTTGTATATCTTTGTGGTGGTCGAATATCTCTCCGTGGTCTATCCTTGGATATGAAATATTACTTTTCCTCTGGATCATCTTCGTCAGTAGACTCGAGACAATCACATTCTTTGAGTAGAAGAGTTCGATTGAAAAGAATCAGAACTACCAATCGCATTCATCTTCTGCGCAGTATCATTTGTACAACTAGTAGATTCCTCTTTGTAAGATAACATAGATAATTCATCAAAAGTAACATCCTTACTGATTACAAGTTTTAGGGATTTGGGATCAGAACACCATAATCTATATCCTATCACCCCAGAAGCATACCCAAGGAAAATGTACTTTTTAGCTCGAGGCTCTAATTTTTCTTCATTTATATGCATGTATGCTGGACACTCAAAAAATTTTAAATCAGAGTAATCAGCAGGAGTACCTGATCAAACTTCCTTCGGAGTTTTAAAATTAAGTGCTGCAGAAGGAGCGCGGTTGATAACGTAATAGGCCATATTGATCCCCTCTGCCTAAAAGTCCTTTGTCAACCCTGCATTTGAGATCATACACTATATTCTCTCCAAAAGTGTTTTGTTCATATGTTTCGCCACACCATTTTGCTGAGGCGTTATCCTAATAGTACGATGCCAAACAATTCCTTCATTTTTGTAGAATTCATCAAAATCACCTTCACAAAATTTCATGCCATTATCTGTTCGAAGTCGCTTAATTTGTTTACCTATTTGCTTCTCAATCAAAGCCTTCCATTATTTAAAAGTTAGAAAAACATCATTTTTATACTTCAGAAAATAAAACCAAACTTTCCTAGAATAATCGTCAATGAAAATCAACATATACCTAGCACCACCCTTAGACTGAACACGAGCTGGACCCCAAAGGTCTGAATGAATATAGTCAAGAGTACCTTTCATTTTGTAAACTGTCGGAGAATTGAAACTGACTCTTTCTGCTTTCCAAAAATGCAGTGTTCATAGAAATCTAGTGGCCTAGTACTGTGTCCGCAAAGAAGACCCCTTTTGCTCAATATGCTCAAATATTTTTTGCTCATATAAATCAAACGCATATGCCATAATTTGATGATGTTAGAATCAGATAATAATGATGACGAGACTACAACCGAGCTTGTGATAGTAGTTCCCTGCAAAATATACAAGTTACCAGACCTACAAGCTTTCATAATAACAAGGGCACTTCTAGAAACTTTCATAACTCCACCTTCAACTGCGTATTTACACACAAGAGCCTCTAGGGTGCCTAAAGAGATGAGATTCTTTTTTAAATCATGAACATATCTAACATTAGTGAGCGTCCTCACAATACCATCATGCATTTTATTTCGAATTGTGCCTCTACCAACAACATTACACGCGGTATTATTTTTCATCAAAATAATTCTACCATTACAAGATTCATATGTAGAAAACAAATCTCTATTGGGACACATGTGATAAGAACAACTCGAATCTAAAATCTATTCATTTTTAGACCTCGTCTTGTCATCAGTAGCAAAGAAAATATTTCCAACATTCTCATCAGTTGCTACACTAGCTTCAGTGGACTCAGTAGTTTTCTCAATAATTTTTTCCTTTTTCTTTAATTTATTTTTTACTTTAAAGTAATTAGTCTTAATGTGTCCCATTTTATGACAATATATGCACTCCAAATTTCTATGTTTGGATTTAGATATAGATTTAGATCTACTACTGTCAAATTTTCTTTTATCCGTTCTACCCCTGACAACTAGACCCTCAGTTTGATTCCCTCTAGTTTCCCCAATAATATCCCTCTCTATCTGCTCCTTAGATTTTAGTGCAGACTTAATTTTCTGATATAAAATTATTTTTTTTTCATAAATCATAGTATCATGGAAATACTTAAGGATTGGGGAAGAGAACACAAAAGTAACAGGGTCTTATCCTCGTCATCAATTTTCGCATCTATATTCTCCAAATCCATAACTAAGGAATCAAATTTATCAAGATATGAGAGTATAGATGTACCTTCAGTCATTCGAAGCATATACAAATTCTGCTTCAAGTAGAAATGATTCTGCACTGTCCTCTTCATATACGAGGCTTTAAGCTTGTCCCACATGCTTTTAGTCGTAGTCTCTGTAACTACCTCCCGTAAAACCTCATTAGAGAAATTTAAAATAATGTTTGATCGGACCTTCTTATCTATACCCGCAAGATCTTCCTTTGACGTATCATCTGGAATATTCTCAATTCCCTGTAGTGTCAAATCAACTCCATCTTGAATCAGAATGACCCCCATCTTGAGCTGTCATATGCCGAAGTTGATATTTCTATTGAATTTCTCGACAATGATCTTTGTTATTGTCATCGTTGCCAAAAGATCTCGAAATCAGACTCTGATACCAGTTTGTTAGAGCTAGCTCTAGAAAATTTACCAAAGGGTAATTTGACAACCTAATAAAGATAATAAAGCAGAAAAATAAAAGAGACAATGATACTAGATTTACGTGGTTCGGTCAATTGACCTACGTCCACGACGGAGGAGAAGCAAAACTCTACTATAAAATGGACAATTACAAATGCCTTAGGAAAATGTTCCTATGTCATAAAATATCTTAAACTACTAAACAAGAAAAGTCCAAACTATAAGCCTAAACTATTTTAACTATGTGTGGACTTAATAGAAATTAAACCTAAAGCAAAAAAATTAGGTTTTTCTTGTGGTGCATCCGACTTTAAAAGTCCAAACCCTTATTTATAGTTAATAGGAGATAACAAGCTTAATTTTCTCAATGTGT